CTAATTTCAAAGTGCCTGAAATTCCCAAACCCTTATTGGGGCAGTAATTAACCACATGACTTCTTGGCCCCCATACCCATGACTGCCATGCCTGCTTATCAGGTGCTTCTTTGGATTGGTCTCACTGTCCAATAAAAAAGAGTGAGGGAGAGCAGAAGGTGGGCCAACTATTGACCAACAATCTTTGTAGATATTAATTACCTAATTTTTGGGAATCCCAGGCACTGTAACAGTACTTTAAAGAGACAAACCAATACCTGGAGATGCCTACAAGGTAATATAAGTCCTCAGGTTTTTGGGGTTTTTTTTTGCTGTGATCAGACACTGCAGATTGCTCACTTTTTCATCCTATTAAAAACCATATGCATGTGTTTTTGTTGTCAGACAACAAAATGGTTATTTGGGGCATTGAAAGAGAATTCATTATTGGCAGGGACTGACAGGTTTCTAGTGGCCAATTACACCCTGTGCATGGCTACTTAGTGTGGTATGTCACACCAACTGAGACAGTCCATTGGCTGTTGGCAAATTAATCACTTACATAATAAATCTACATCCCAACAGACACAGATGTTGGTATAGAACAGCATTGATCAGTATTAAAAATTAAAGCAGAAGAGGTAGACAGCTTTCAGTTAAGTACTAGGGCTGCTGTCACCATCCTTAATTTATGTTTTACATTTTTACATGGCTGTAGAAAAAGGCACTACATTGGGATTTTGCATTAAAAGATTTGTTTTTGGACAATGAGTCGGATTTATAAAGAAAAAAAAAACTGAAGAAAAGAAAATTTATATACAGTATGCTACCCTATGTTCTGTTTGCACATTGTAAGCTTGAAAACAAAGCTAAAAGTTAACTGTGTGTAAATGTATCTGGGATAAATGAAAACAAGTAGTAATAGAAAATATACAAGAAACAGGCATCACAAGGTTCCTCTTTAAGCAGTGGTAAGTCATGGTCAGAAATTATAATTATGTGTGGCTTGTGAACTCAGAACCTGGGCATACTAAACAGTCAGAACTCAACTTAGGGGGTTGTTTACTAAAACTGCATGTTGCAAAATCTGGGGCAGCTCTGCATAGAAACCAAACAGCTTCCAGGTTTTGTCACAGCTTAACTGAACAAGCTGACATTACAAGCTGATTGGCTATATGCCGCGGGGACTACATTTATCTTATGATGGTATCCCTGCACGTTTTTTGTAATGATCATTTGATTGCTGCCATGTATATGCCTGATGTGCCTTTTACTCAATAAAACTGAGTTTAAAAAAAAGAAGCTGATTGGCGACCATGCACAGCTGCACCAGATTCTGAGTGCTCTAGTTTTAGTAAATCCCCCCCTTAATCTCTAAATCAGTGCGCTAATACAACCCCAACATCCCACATTGCAATGGCCATGCCTCGATGGGCAATAAGGAGGGTCTCCCAGCTCCCTGCTCTTGCTGCAGAAACTTTGATCACACCTAACAATATGCACAGATACCTTCTGATGTCTGCTCCCAAGAACGTGTGTTAGTTGTTAGCATTTTTTCTAAAATAGATTCTCTTTAAGGGCCATTTCTCTGCATTTGGGGTCCATTTTTTGTTACATTTTAGAAGTGTCTTACATGTGTTACCATTTACCTCTACGGAGGGTGCATTTTGCTAAAAACAACAACACCAAAGATGCAGCAATCAGGATTTGTTTTATTCATGCTACGCTATAACTGTACCAAAATATGAAAGCCACTCCCACTGTTAATTTTTAAAAGAAGACATCTATGAGGTATGTGATTTGTTGCAATTTTGCTTTTTCTAAGTTTTCATAAATTTGCCAATTTAGGAACATGTAATATAAAGGGATAAATCAATGGCATACATTTAACATTTTTATAGGGCTCATATGCCCAACTTTGGTTCCATTCACACATGTCTACTGTGCATTGTTTTAACACATGCATTATCATACAGTATGCTATGTATTAATGTACATTGCATTAAGGCAGCCTGTTCATTTCAAAATAACTGCCAATGGACTAGAGGAAACAGGAAAACTTACCGTGTTCATCATACAACTAGTTTATTACTGGCCGTGCAGTGCACTGCAATGCAAATGTATTATGGGGGGTGTATTGGGGTCCAATTCAAAATGAAAAGTGCCACAATGCACATAAGGTGTGTTAGAGCATCACTAAGATGTGGATAGACCCTTGGTCTTCCTTAAAGGAGAGTGTTATTTTGTGCCATAGAACAGAGTTACGGAAACTTCATTTGCAAACAACAAAACATTTTCCATCTTTTTTTCATATGCAGCTTTTTGACATATACAATTTTCCATTAGTGGGAAGCATGGAACAAATGACCTGTTACGAAATCTAATGACCAGAGAAGTGGAAAAATTACCCCGCACAGTTGTACATAATGACTTCACTACAGCCAATCACTTTTTGTCCTTTACATCACGAAATGTTCTCATTTCCTAATCAGCGCCAAATTAGAATTTTGGCAAAAAGCTGAGATTGTCATTTCAAAAGATATGTACAACCACTTTCATATACCAAAATATAAGTCAAATAATTTAGCAACTATTTGAGGCTTTTCCAATACCTAAAAGCAATATATCTCTATATAATACTTTTTCATCTATATGATATGCATAAAAGGCATTATTTACTGAAAGAGTATTTTTTATGGAGGCACAGGGAAACTATTTGCTCCTAGATATCCATTTATGTGCAGGATATTTCTTTATTGTTTCTACACGACTGTATGTTCCTTGGACAAGAGTAAACGGTAAACCTTAAATCAACACCTACAAGGGTTACTAATTTGGTCCAAAGTGATAACTCAAAGAAACTCAATCAATATTCACCTTATCCTTACATATCCAAGTACCTGGTGCACCTTCAGTTCACCTACAACTGGCTTATGCAAGAATCTACATAGAGTATTTAGTAATAAATTATTATATTTATGCACAATAAAGGCTGGTACATGCTGGCTGAATATTGGCCGGTATCAGCCAGTTCAACAGAAACCAGATGACATTCGGCCAGTGTGTACAGCCTGTCTGACAGAAGTTGGAAAACCAGTAGCCAACTGGCATCTGATCAGCACTCTCAGCCAATGGCCGTAAGCTCTGGTCAGAGTGTCCTGGTGGGGGGGTGGTCCCCCTGTTAGAACACAATAGTGCAACGGGTGAGATTGCTGTACTAAAATCGCTTGTGTTATTACGGCGATCTGAAAGTTTCTTACAGTGTGTACCTCGCATAACCCATAAATGATTTATCTTTTTCCATTTTCTTGGCTTTACTTACTCTGTCTGAGCCTGACTTTTGGTTTTTGGAGTTAGGGGTCAGAAGCCACCCGAAATCAGAGCGTTGCTGGCCTGTTGACTGTCTGAGCTCATGCTAAGTGGTCATAATAAATATATCAAGGGCAATTCTGCACACAAGTGTAATAACAGAGAACTAGTCAAAACTGGGTTCATGTAAGAATCTTAAAATTCTTAAACTATTCAAATTGTGGAAGATTACTTATGAAAACTTTTTAGTGCCCCTTAATTAGCTTTACTAATATTGACTGAGCCTGACACTTGTGCTTGGGCATCAGGGGCCAATTGCCTAACCCCATACACTGTCAGAACAATGGAGTCAAACAACAGAGACCTGTAATTATTAACATCTCATTATTAGCAATGGGCCTTTGTAATTTGACATCACCATGCACTTGTGGGACCTGGAATACAGTGTGTGAAATCCTGCAGTTAAAATGCAAATATTGTCAGAGTTTATGTCATTTCTAATCTTTCACAATGCTTGCACAGTGTAGGAAAAACTAAATAAAGGGGTGGAAGTTTGCATGATTGGTTATGTAATCCTCGGTCTGGATTCACACTTATGCAATCCTTTGCAGAGCATTAATGTGAGTTGTGATTTGGCAGCCCATTCATTATGAATGGGCTGCCAATGAACCGCAAAGAACACAAAATGCACAGGACCCTTTTTTACACCGCAGCACACCACAACACACAGTGATGCACTGTATGTTTGCCACTATACAGTGTTTATGTTGCTTTTTACAATGAATGATACAACACACTGCAGCTAGCCAGATGCATCTTACAATAGCCCAAGTTTAAATGCCCATTTTTAACGTGAGTTGATGCATTGCATACATATGGATGGGCCCTTGAAGCCTTCCATAAGTCTATAAAGGACTGGCACTCTTCAAAAACGTAAACGATTCACAGTGGCCTCTGCTCTTTCATATAAGAAAAATAATAGTACAATATATTTCTACTTCAACAAGTATTTTTTTCTTTGTTAGGCCTTGTTCACACCATATGTGCAGAAAAAACTGATGGAAACTGATGTGCAGATTTCACTTGTAGAGACATCAGTTTACATCAGTTTTCATGCGCTTCTATGAGTTTTATACACGTTGCACATTCCTGCGCAGGAAAAATATGCACGAGATACTAGTGTTGTGGTGTGAACAGGGAACATGGAGAACAATTGATTTCATTGTGCCATTGCAGAGCGCATGCGGAAAAACTGACGTCTCTGCACCTTGGTGTAAATGTTCCATTATTTTTCACCTGCCATGTACATGTACATCATTTTCAGTAGAAAAGTTCATTTCCCCTTTTCTTTCCCGGTTTTAAATGTTTCAAAGCACTTGTAAACTGCAACTGTTGTTTCTGTGTTGCACTGGGAGGTGATAAAAGAGATAATACAGCATGCACAAGTATTGTACAAGAAAATTAACATTGTCTGCGTCACTTTGCTCTTCCTGAGTAGAACCTGAAATCCAGCTTACAAACAATCCATTTTTGGCAAAATATTCTGTCATGTAATAAGGCAGCCAAGCTTTTTATTTTGTTGTGATGTCTGCTTTCTTCTTGGATTCTTGCTTGATCTTCATGGGTATATCAAACTGGTTTCTTCTAATGATATGTTTTTAATTTCTTTTAAAAAAATCATTTTTTAGTGTCTAAAAGGCAATATTTGGTCTTTATATATGTTGTGTTCTTGAGGATTTCAACTGTACTGATTCAAAACTGTGTTCTTTATCCTGTAACAATGACAGCATTGATTATGAAGATTTAACTTTAACAACATATCAAAATCCAAAATCTTTTGCTTAAAGTATACATAAAGCTAATTATTGTCTTGTTTTTGATAGACTTAATAGAGTTGAGAAGTTTTAGAAATTCTTTTAGGTTTTTATTGCTGCCTGCATTCACACTGGTTTCACTGGTAAAGAAAACGATGGAAAATCCAAAATTTTACTCTGGTCACTGGCACAGGAATCAAGAAGGGGGGGTGGAGTCTTCTAATAGGGACTTGCTCTGTCTAAAACTGGAATTTCAACTGATTTTCTCACTTCCTGTCTTCAGGAAAAGAAATGAATGGAAGTTTTGACAATGAATGTATACAAAATACCAAAACCTGCTACCAGTTTTTATTATTTCCTACAGTATCCAAAATGAAAAAAAAATTTGGCTTTAGACATACTGTGTATTGGATAGATGAATGTTTACACTAGATTTTTGATGGTTTCCTTTTTTTCTACATTTTCATCAAATTGTATTGTTCAGTATTGAAGACTTTATTTTAAGCCAATAAATGTAATATCTTCCTTACTTTGTACACTGTGACTGCTTTGAAAGACCTTATCTATAACAGGCTTTTATGAAACAAAGACATAAAAAAAACTCATGTTGTGGAGGAGGAAATGGGGATCCATAACGAATATCAGGCCTCTACTTTTAGGTTTTAGGACCTCTAATTGTAATAAATCTGGCCAATCCACACTGAACATAGAATAGAAGATTCATAAGCTTTCAAAACTGAATGTAAAAACAATTGGTAAATCCAGATCTGCAGGTAGCTGAAGTACTATGTTGTCTAGAAAGGGTGATAGGGTTATTGGTTGAAGTTCTCGCTGAATGTTTTTGCATTATACCATCATATGCTCAGTTTTTTTTTTAATTATTATTATTATACAGGATTTATATAGCGCCAACAGTTTGCTCAGTGCTTTACAAAATAAAGGGAGACAATACAGCAACAATACAGTTCAATGCAAGAGGGTTAAGAGGGCCCTGCTTCTTGGATTTTAAGCCCCTCATCTGGGTACTATAAACTATAACTGATTGTAATAACCTAAAGGCATTATGGGATGCCATCCCCTATTGGTTAAGGGACTCAATCACAAAAAGGGGAAAAACAAAATTGGCAACAAAAAAGAAAGTTGCTAACAAGTATAGACCTAGAGGTACAATCACATACTTGCAGCAGCTTTCATTGCCCTATACTATGGCTGAATACTTGGCCATCTAAATGGGTAAAACTCCAGCACTTCCTGGTAGTGAAAGAGTTTGTCTGCTTCTTCCAGCTTTGAGAGCTGAGAAGTAGTGCTGGCACTACTAAGCATTTTATTTATTTATTTGTTTGTTTTTTTTGTTTGTTTGTTTGTTTGTTTATTTATTTATTAAAAGATTCTATTTAATAAAACATTTGATAAGGTACACACAGCATAGGCATATTACAGTATCCATCAAATATAGGACCGGGCTAACATTTTTAAGCAAGGAGGAGACACACCCAGTGAGACCAGATAAAATCAAATTTACGCATTGCATTTTGTAAAAAATAGATATGTTTCTCAAAATGAAATACACCTATTTAGCTTGGACATCTGTTCCTCCACAAAGAATGAATTTGCTGATATTTATTTCATGGTTAGCAGCAAAACGTGACCTAGTACCTGCCAGTAATAGGCAGTCATCCATAGGGAAGAGTCATAGTAACCTAGGTACAGGTAAATGGGTCAGCAGTTACACCAAAAATACAATTAAGAGTTGAAATCATTCCCTCCCTATACTTCTTAAATTTAGGGCAATACCACATCTGTTGCAGCAGACCAAATTTGTGGAGCAATTTGGGAGAATGATAAACTCTATAGATAATGAAAAGCAGCACTTAATTATTAAAAAGACTTAAGGCAACCATTGATGTACAATTAGTTAAAGGTTAAGTTACCAGCTCTCTCCAATATATGACAGCCCTACAGTTTGTGGATCTCAGGTAAAACATTGGACCTGATGGGGCATAAACCTTGTGAACTCAGTGATCTCTAAAAGGCCCTTGGCGGTTTCCTAAATCTAGCCTATTAATAGGTTTGTGGGCAGTTTTGGAAGTAGCTCCATGTAGACAGGGGCATCTAAAGCTTGTAGTGGGTTTATTCCCAGAAATAGCGAAGAAAGTATGTTACACACGGTTGTAGGTGGCATCACTCCCAGCCAGCCATGTGTTAAGCAAAACAGTCTTAAATTAAACCCGCAGACTTGGAGCAACAAGACTAGCAAGAGCCTAAGGATATTTCAAAAATTTTAGTGGGTTTCTTTGTCCATCAGATCTCGAAAGACAGGACTGAATCTCTTAAAATACTTAAGGGGGCTCTAACAAGGTGAGTTGTGCAGGAAGTATAACAAGTGAGACATCCATACCTTCTTAAGTAAATTGGTGCAACAAACCATCAAAAATGGAAGTTTGCACTAGGCTTTGCTCTGAAAGTGAAATTTGCCAAATAAAGGAAGGGGGTTGAGGGGACATAACTACACCCAGGTATTTTGAGGGACAATTTAATGTGGGAAAGAGCTGAGGCCAAAGGCTTGAGAAGTGGGTCTTGAGATAACAACATAGAATTTTCCTATTTGATACAAAGTTGTTGGAGATAAATAGAAGGATATTGCTGCATAAAGTGTACTTTCTTGTCATGGTACCTTCTACGGAACCGAACTCCTGATATCCAAGGTGTATTGCACAAAACCAAAATTTTTGGAGGGCAGCTCAAATATAGTCCTATTCCATACTGTCAAAAGCTTTGACAGCGTCAAGGGTCAATAGTGCCCTGTTACTCATTTTCTCAGTCAGGGTTTGAATGCCTGTCTGGTATTGGTGTCCGTGGAAAGGTTAGGCATGAACCCCATTTGATCAGAGTGTATTATCATAGCTTTAACATTATTTAACCAGTTAGCAAGTACTTTAGCCAGAACTTTTATGTTGGTGGGAAGTGGAAAATCATTTTATTTTAAGGCTTTTTTTCTCAAGGTTAAACACGATTAAGCCAAACTAGAGACCCAGTAAAAATACTTGATATTATATTATCTACTGATACTATTATCTTTGCTGGGTTGTCCTCTCATGCAATGCAGAAGCCCTCCCAAAATGTGTCATCATAAGTGATGCTAAGTATCCTAAAAGTCTAGTTTGTTACTATGAAAGAGGCTCAGAAAGCACTGATCTAACAACAAAAGTTAAGAAGGTATTATTCACCTACTTCATGTATAGTATAAATAGGTATCATTTATTTTGACTTACCTTTGTTGCAAGTGATTTCAGCTTTCCCAGTATTGACTGCTTATTGGAATAGACCACATCATCATCATTGTCTTCTCCTTCCATTATAGCACAGCTGTCAGCAGCAGGAAGCTCGCACTCTTTGGAATTAGCAGTCATGATTAGTTTGGAGTATTTGTATTCAAGCCTACAGTAAACAAGAGTAAAAAAAATTATATATATTTAGAATATTAATAGCTGCAATAATTGTCTAATGCAGATCCCTCTATTTCATTCTGATCACTAGAAATCCTACAGGCATATTTTTAAGGCTTCATTCACATGGGCATATGTGTATTTTCTGCATAGATTGTAGGTTCTTGTTAGCAGAGATAGCCTCTGCGGATTTTCTGGCTGGCCTGGTGGGCATGGGGAGATCCTCCACCCCCCCAGTAGTGTGCCCAGGTAAGCGGTGGGGAGAGGTGAGGTTGGGAGCAGCTAAAGAACCCCCAAAAGTGCCAGGAATGTGCAGAGCGATTAAGGAAGCATCCACTCCAGCCATCAGTGCGTGTGCACTCCCATATCTGCAAATTTTAAATGTGAATTCACATAAATGCATATATGCATATACACGTAAAGCAATTGGAAATATTTGCATCTACACACATCCAAGCATGAGCAGTATTTTAAGGGTGTGTGCACTCACATGTGAAAACAAGTAAAAACGCCATATACAAAATAAAACACCAGATTAAAGCTGCACTTCCAGGCAGTGTGCCCACGGCCATGCCCTTATGCGTACGTCACGCCCACGTGACTTCATCTGGTGATGTTTTATTCTGTATATGGCGTTTTTACTTGTTTTCACATGTGAGAGCAATACTTTTTTAACCAATAAATATACATCTGCTAGTACATACTGCACCATGGGAGTGTCCTTTTGTCTCCTCCACTAAGGGCTATAATCTCAGACCTCCAACTCCCTTAAAGGGACCGGTCCCCATTTCTGGCTTGATGGTGTATTAAAAGCACAAAAGGTGTCTGACCGTTTCTATATGGCTGATCATAGGGAGAGTGAAGGAATCTTTACCTATTTAATAGTACAAAGCGCAATTTAATTGCTCTGAGAGTTGAGAGTTCTGTGAGCACTGAGGTGACACCGCCTGCATGCTTCGTAGCACTATATTTGATGGTGTTGATTTATGAGCACAGGAATAAGCTTTATAAGCTGTGAAGAAATATATGATTTGAATCACTACTGATCATTTCATTTATATGGACTTGCTTTATGGACATGTATTTCTTTGTTTTGTTTACTATATAGATATATATATTTTTTCACTTTATATTTTGATTATGTATTTGCAGCACAGCATTTTTTCATTTGTGATTAATAAAGGATTACTGTGGATAGGAGACTACCTTAACCTCCCTGGCGGTATGATTATTTCAGATTTTTGGTGCTGAAAGCGGTTCCATTTTTTTGCATGGAAATATGTATTTTTTTTACTTGTAGGCTGTAATTTTTAGGAAAAACTCACTGAAATCTGTCCGAACAAGAGTCTCCCCCCCCCCCCCCCCCCACAAATCCCCCCCCCCTAAATACCCTTTTCTGTCTAGTAAATTTTTCATCCCGGGTGGAAATATGATAAAATTTGAAAAAACACAAAATCATAAATTATAATAAAATTTGATAAATAATCATAAAAATAATAAATATATAAAAATAATATAAAAAAATTTTAATTCAATAATATAATCAAACCAAAAACACTGAAATGTGAAATATATAGCGCCAAGTTTGCACATCGCTGAGCTCTCAGTCGCAAAATCGTTTTCAGTTTCTGATGACGAATTTCCCCCACGAATCATTATCACTCAATTCTGCAAGTGGTTCTGATTTACTATCGCTGTTCTCTAGCTGATCTAAACCGCTTTTGACCTAAAGGGACACTTTTTGGACGCCATGGACATTTCTCAGTTTCCAGGCAGAAAGAACAGACAAAATGCAGGCAGGGTGCAGGACAAAGCACTAGGGACAATATGTATGTGAAATTGGTTGAGACAGCAATGTTTTACTAGGTAAAATGTAAAAAAAAAAAATGACATTTTTTAAAATTTTTAAATTTCCCGCCGCCGGCGGCTGCGGCGCCCGTACGTCCCGGACGTCACAGGGACAGGACAATAAATATGAATGTGAAATTGGTTGAGACAGCAATGTTTTAAGGTAAAATGTAAAAAAAAAAAAATGACATTTTTTAAAATTTTTAAATTTCCCCGCCCGGCGGCTGCGGCGCCCGTACGTCCCGACGTCACAGGGACAGGACACAGAAGCCGGATGCCGGCATCGGCCGGAGGAGATGGCCGGGGACGCTGCAGGGGACACATCGTGGGAGCGCAGGGTAAGGTAAGTGAAGAACACTTGCCGGAGCAGTGCCTCAGGGTAAGCCCGAGTGTAGCTCGGGGTTACCGCTTTTGGTACTGAAATGTTACCCCGAGCTACACTCGGGAATACCGCCAGGGAGGTTAAGGGTGATCGAACTCACTCTTTGCAACTCTTTAAAGATAAATTGCAAATGCCCTCTACCAAAATCTTTAGATACAATCAAATTGTCTATTTTATCCGCTTGAAGATCACTTTATTGGATGAACCACCCATACTTCCAAATTTTGAACTTTCCTGCCAGAATAAGGATTTCCCCAGAGGCCGTGTCTCCACAGTGTATGCTCTCCTCAATGATCCGAATTGTAAGCTTCCCTATATGGATCAATTGGAACGGGACCTGAATGTCACCTATTACCTATCTGATTGTCAAGATATTGCCCTGGCATTTTTCTAACGTTTCCATCAACACTACTCTAATTGAAGCACACTACAAAACGTTACTACGATGGTACTTGGTCCCTACTCGGACTGCGAGAATGCATCCATCTGCGTCACTGATGTGCTTCCGGAGTTGTGGCCAGATGGGCTCTATGTATCACATCTGGTGGCAATGTCCGATGGCTACCAGATTTTGGATCCACATGTTTAATTTCATCTATACAGTGACGGGGGTGAAAATTCACAGATCCCCAGAGACGGCCCTCTTTCATAAATTACCGGATATCACTCCCAGAAAATCCTTAAAAATGATCACCTATATGCTGTTGGCAGCGAGAATTACTATTACTAGACATTGGAAGCAATCATTCATCCAATTGATTATGTAAAGAATAAACTGAACTGGATTATGATTAATGACAGATTCACATGTATCCTACACAACAATACTAGAAAATTTGATAAAACATGGAACTCGTGGGTTCGATATATTTCCGTGCCTTAATGTCTCCCGTCTAGACCCTCTCTTTCTATTTTTCTATTCCCTTTTCTTTTATTCTTTATTGTTCCCTTTTTCTGTCCTATGGGGTTGGTTACGCCTAATTCCTATATGTTCTACAACATATATCATGCCTCAAACGACACTTACTCTGTGTGTATTTTCAAGTCTAGGAACAAAGGCTCTTTCCTCTTCCCCTTCCACTATGTTCCCTGACTCACCCTTTCCTTGCTCCCTTTCTAGCTTCCCTCCCTCCTCCCTTCCCCCATCACTGTGTCCATCACCTATATATGGTTGGTTAAAAGATGTGGACTTTCTTTTTGGATTATCCAATAGCTACTCTACAGAGCTTCTAGTTTCCTAGTGTGTGTCTTATGTTCAATAAACCATTTTCTTTGCGTTGTGTTGAAATCTACTCATTGTGACATGACTATAGTTTACTTGTTTTATTTGTTATTTAACCACTTGCCCTCCTGAGGATTTACCCCCCTCCCTGACCAAGCCATTTTTTGTGTTATGGCACTGTGTTACTTTAACTGACAATTGTGCGGTCAAGCAACACTGCATCCAAATGAAATTTATGTCCTTTTTTCCCACAAATTGAGCTTTTTTGGTGGTATTTGATTGCCTGTGCGTTTTTATTTTTTGTGCTATAAAAAAAGGCCAACAATTTTCAGAAAAAAACAATATTTTCGACTTTTTGCTATTAAACATGTCCAGTATAAAAATGTAAAACATTAAATTTTGTCATAAATTTAGGCCAAAATGTATTCTGCTGCACGTCTTTGCTAAAAAAAATCCCAATACGTCTAAATTAATTGGTTTACATGAAAGTTATAGCATTTACAAATGGTGGTATACATACTGTAATTTTTTTTCCTTTTTACTAGTAATGGCAATGATCAGCAACTTATAGCGGGACTGCGGCGGGCATTCTGACACTGAGGGGAACTATCGTGGTGTCACTGACAACCCCAATGACAACAATACAGTGATCAGTGCTAAAAAAAAGCAACTGACACTGTACTAATGGCACTGGGCAGGAAGGGGTTACCATGAGGGGTGATCAAAAGGGTTAACTGTGTGCTGGAGTGTTTTACTGGGGGGTGGTGTAATGGTGCTTCACTGTAAGCACACTGCACTGGATGGCTGTGCTGTGCACAGCCATCCAGAGCAGTGTGCCTGAGTCAACAGGGAGGAGGACGGTTAGTAAACAAAGCAGCCCTCCTCCATGTTGGAGATTGTTGGTAACTGGCGGGTAATCACAAGCCGGGATCCGGTGATTGACAGCCGCGGCCACAAATGGCGGCACGGGTAGGGGCCGTGCGCGGCTTGCGCGCGCCCCCTACCCGGACATTCAAAATCACGTATATACAAATATAATATATATATATATATATAAAAAAAATTTTTACTTGTAATGGCGGTGATCAGCGACTTATAGCGGGACTGCAGCGGACATTCTGACACTGAGGGTAACTGACTTGGTGTCACTGACATACCTAGTGACACTAAGACAGTGATCAATGCTAAGTGATGTGCACAGCCATCCAAAGCAGTGTGCCCGAGCTGACAAGGAGAACTGTTAGTAAACAAAACAGTCCTCTCGTAATTACCGTCCGGGACCCGGTGATTGACAGCCACAGCCACGAATGGCGCCTACCCGGAAAATGCAAAATCACGTATATACGTATATATATACGTGATTTTGAGCATCCGTGCCGCCCTGTAGCAGTATTCCTGGTATAGGGCGATGGGGAAGCGGTTAAAAAGGTATTCAATAAAAATTATTGGAATATAAAATCTGCAGATATGTACAGCCCTGGATGCAGCTGTGGCCTGCTATTTTTGTATGCTGCTAAACTCAGCACATATGTTTTAATGCAGCTGTGTGTAAGGCCCTATTGATTCTTGTAGTGCTGAGTTTAGATGTGTACAAAACTATACGCTGTATGCATGTAATTGTGACACTTTAAATGTCTGTGTGAATGAGCCCTAAAGATGTTGTGCCATCTTTTAGCTGAACTGGACATTTATACTTCTTGAAGGACAGGTTATTAGAACACTAGGGGTTTGATTTACTAAAGCTGGAGAGTGCAAAATCTGGTGCAGCTGTGCATACAGCCAATCAGCTTCTAACTTCAGCTTGTTTAATTAAGCTGACAACAAAAAAAACTGGAAGCTGATTGGTTTCTATGCAGAGCTGCACCAGATTTTTCACTCTGCAGTTTTACTAAATCGACCCCAAGGTGTATTAAAAAGTTTGCTCCTAGTTTGGTATTAATTGTTCTTCTGAAAACAGAAAAGAAAAAAAGTGGCAAACTGTATTTCGCTTACCTACAACCCACAGCAATGCATAGGTGGAAACTATATCAGTGAATAGTCAATACAATGGTTCAGACGTTTCTCTGCTTTTTCTCTGTGCAGTTTGATTTCTTTTTAAACTGAAGGGAAAATCCAGCAAGGGAGACACAATGCTGTTACATTGTCAAAATATGAAATGTGACTTGACAATCCAGAGCTTTTAGATTGCAGTTAGATTGCTTGTTATAAAACTCGAAATCAGATTCCTATTGGCCTGCAATTGCAGCAAAGGTGGCAGTTTGTCTCAGCTGATAATCAGACCCTTGAAACTCAGCTCAACTTTCGCAGACACAATGCAGATAATTTTGGGGGTATGAAGGGTGTTTCACTGGGGGCAAACAGCCTAAAATAAGCCCTTTGTAGCTATAGGCATTGTGTAGAAATATATCTTCAAAGCTCACAAGGGAGACACAGAATTCTCTCTTTTGCAGCAGAATCTTGGCAGCCCATCAGCATTTTACTGTAAACAAATCTATTTCCAAGCTTGTAGTCTTTGTTTTTATCTTTGAAGACTTTTTTTTCAGAAAGGACTACTTTACATAAGAATATGTAAAAAATGTTCATAGTCTTGGCACAGGTGCACTTAGAAATAATACAATGCAACCTAAACACATTTTAATGAAAGAATATTTGTAACTGGAGTTCCACTTTAAGTTTCATACCACTGACAGTCACTAGGAGATTAATAAAGCAGCAATTATGGTCTTAAAGTATAACTAAATGCAAAACTTTTTTTAATTCAGGAAAGAAGAATTAGAACATCAGGCTCTCGTTACTGCCTGTGCCCCTGTTGAGTAGACTCACCCTCTCTATTTGTCCTGTTTACCATTATCAAGGAATGTAAACGTAAAAGAAAATCCCAAATTTTGGGTTGTCCCCAGAAAAGTAATACAGGGTAAATATTCCAGTGTAAACTCTAGTTCTGGTTACATTGGAGGGATTTCCTCTCACTTGCCATTTTGGATATGGGAAGTGAAAGGAAATCTCCCCAATGGAACACAAAAAACTTAACATGGGTTATAACCCTCCCTTAATCTACCCAAAATTATAAAAAAAAAAAGGTTCGCCAATAGTTCTACTTTAAATGCCCTGAACGTCACATGATGCCACAAGCAAAAAAGCATAAAATATTACTGCATAATGTTTGCCATGGCTTTCTCACAGCTGGCTGGACCAAGCAGTCAGTTTGTATATGACCAGAAGCCAAAGCACCTTTAGTACAAATGTTTATGTCATGCCCAACTAACAATAAATGGCTAAATAATGTGACTTTAAAAGGAGTTACTGTGGATCTGAATAATTTCCAAACATTTATAAAACATGTATTAAAAATCAAATCAGAGTCTGTACTTTAATTGTACAATCTGCACTCACTTTTGGTTTTTCTTCCAGAAGTAACAGGTCAATGCTACAAGTAGAACAGCTACAAAGGCACCAACACCAGCTCCCACTTTCAACCAGAAGTCTATTGACTCACAGGCCGCTGTCCTTTTTTCTGGTAGAGATACACCCTTCATGCACAATTTTGGCTCATTCCAGACATAATGAGTTTCCTTAAAATTAAATCACAAAGGAATACCATATAAATATTTTTTGTAAGTCAATAAAAAGTGTAATTTTTAACATTAGTACATAGTGCATGGTTGGTAAGGTTAACAAAGACACTGGTTCATCCGGTTCAACCTGAGATGGCCCAGTTTGTTCTTTCTTTACTACTGAAAAACATTCATGATTGCTTAGCTGTATTTATTAATTTATAAAACATAAAGGTTAAAAGCACCAAAATACTTATGCCCTTTGCCACCCTCCATCTCAAACTATAAAACAGAAATGTAGACCTTATATGCATGCATGTCAGAGTTTATGTTGCCTTAGCCTGTCTGGATTTGAGTACTGCTTATATCTTGCAGAAATGCGATGTCCTTTGAAATGTCACTTATGCACTGGGCTCAGCCACAAAAGTGATCTTTTTCTGGGTGCATGCTTCAAATTTTGGATGACAGCTATTATTCTGTATTTTCAAGCATATGTGATGCCATCAAAGGGCATTCCTGGCAGTAAGAACTCTGACTTGTCTGCATCGAAAGTTTTAACTTCTCCAGTACAGTTTCATGAAGACAGAAGAGAGGTATGTGAAATATTATGATTGGTCACCCAGTTGGTTTACATACTGGGGCTTTAGACAGTTATGAGTTCAGTGCAAGACTGTAATGGTTTAATATTAGCACTTTTGACATGGATAAGGGGTTAAGTTTGAGTTAAAAACAGAGGTTAAGGTTAAGGTCAAGGTTTGGGTTATAGGTTTTGGGTTTTGGGTTACAGGGGTGAAGTGACAGGCTATCTTTAAGGATTAAGTTTTAAGGTTACCGGTTAAGTGTTAAGGGTTGTGTTTTCATGGGTGAAGTGACAGGTTATGTTTTAGTGCACTTCGTTCTGCACTCCTATGACCCATATTGAGGACAATATGAGGCTAAAGCCCGCTGTCAGCTGACATCACTGAGCTGGTCCAGGCTCTGAAGAGATCCTGGCTTTAAAGTTGGGATCCACCTAGTTGCCTGGACCAGCAGCTGGTTCAGCCTCAACTCTGTTTGTTTTTTTCAAATCTCAAACGTATCTTTTAAGTATTTAGGTGTTGCCTTTTAGGGAGTGAAGTGACAGGTTATGTTTTAGGTTTAAGGGTAGGAGTTAAGGGGTACATTTAAAAAATGTGGTAAGGCTTAGGGTTATGTTTTAAGGGTACTGTTTAAGAACTAAGGGTTGTGCTTAGGGTTAAATTAAGGGTTAGGTGCTAGGTTGAGGATATGTGTTAAGGGTTCATTTTAGGGGTTAGATAACACTTTCAAGAACAGGAATCACAGACTACAACTTATTAAATACCTGTTGCCCTTTTCGACAAGCTCCTTCTATCTTCTGATAGTCATTATCTGTACAGAGAGGGCATGCGTCTGCTGTTTCCCAGAGCAAATGAAAATTGCAACCATCACATGTACCGGCAGGACATAATCTACAAGAAAAAAAAAGTTTACCTGTACAATAAAATTCTAAAATATCTGTTCATCTGTAAAAATGTACAGAAAGAACATTTCTTACTCATTAACAGGCTGAAACAAGTGCTAACTCAAGAGTAAATATTTAGTATTGATATGATAAGAAATTGATCCACAACAGAAAATGAAACATCCACTACCCTTTGTTTACTTTTTATTACCTAATAATGCAACCAAAAAGCACTTTCCCAAACATGTTTTAGCTGGCAGATGTAAGAATATTAATATATAGTATCCATAGCAACCATAGCAAATTAAAAAAAGCTCACGATATAGGCTACTGGATTTTGATCTTTGCCTTGTTAGGCAAGCCTTAAAGTTGTTTACTAAAGCTGCACCAGCTATGCTTATACTAAAGACTTCACTGCAGAAAATCAATTTGGATCACCCTTCAAGTTTAATTGCTATTGCTAATCATGTCATCTATTTCTTTTTTTTCTTTCTTTTTTTATAGGTGCTCACATGACCTGTTTTCAACTACATTAGGGACTTGGGGAGGTGGGTGGGTGGAAACTGTGGTGGGGTGGTGGGAGTTAGCAGGAGGCAGAGAAACAGCTGTATACTGATCTTCTCAGTGAAGAGTTTGGCGGAGCGAGTATCAGCAGACCGACCACTGGAGTACAGGCAGACTGTGCTCCCAAGGAGAATCTAAAAAATCAAATTGATCATTCTGGGATGGATGAGCTTCCATGCCTGGCATGGTCATTTTGAAATATGAAAGCTGGGGGACTTGCAAGATCACTAGGTATTTCACACAAAGTAAGCAATGCAAAGATAACAGGATACTCTTGTATACAAGTATATCATAACACAAATCAAGAATAAGAAATGTTGTGGTCAGGGGCGGACTGACCATTTAGAAACTTGGGCACTGCCCAAGGGCCCAGGGTCAGTAGGGGGCCCCATGAGATGCTCCTGGTACCTTTTTCATAGGCTTTTTTGAGTTTGGGCAAGGACACAGGGGCCCCATGATCCCCTATTGCCCGAGGGGGGCCCCATGAGTTGTCAGTCCGCCCCTGGTTGTGGTAACATATATACATATCTCTTTCATTTACATCTGACCGTTTCATGGAGCTTCAGAAGAATAGCTATCACTATAGTTCCAGAGCTCCAACAATGGTCCTTCTGGACATAAAAAAAATGACATACACACATTAATTGTGGGTCTTCACAATTTTGCGTTGAATCTTTCTAAATTTTGTTTTAAAGTTTCTAGACACTTTGAAATGTATAGTGTGATAAAATACAATAACACTTTAAACTGTATCTGATTTTGCTATCACATGTAATAGCAGTAGAATGCAGTGTAGAAGAGTAGTCATTTTAGCAGTTTTTGTGAGTTACTAAATATCTGAAAAACAATGACAAAGGGCATCTGCAATAAATTACCTGGGCACCGAAATATCTCCCTGACCAAGTTTTGTAGGGTTGCATCTCAAAGATATCACTGTAGCTCTCCCTTTTTCACATGATGATGTAACTGAAGAAGATCTGAGAAGAAAACATACCACACATAATTGGTTTAAATAAAGGAAACAATTGAAATCATTTATGCAGTATTCTTTCTAAAACATTAAAATCTATCTAAAAAAAAACATTATTCAGCAGAAAACAGTTGAAGTAATTGTAAAGGATTTGAAAAAAAAAACATCTCTATATTTACCTGCTCTGCAATTGCACTAAGTGGCCCCGAGCCTCCTCTTCTTGGGTACCCCACTGGCACTCCTCTTCTCTGTCCAATGCCCCCATGGGAAGCCTCTTCCCATGGGGGCACTTGTGCGTGCTAGCTCCTGAGACCCGTTGCTGTGTCCATTGACACAGACAGCGGTACTCAGCCCCATCCCCACTCCCTTGTCACAGCCAATGGCTCCTGGTGGCCCAGAAAAGCCAGTAAAACCTAGAAGTGATGGAGAGAAGAGCTGCAGATGTGCACAGTGCTAGATGAAATGAGGACTCAGATAAGTATGGGGGGAGGGGCCAAAACCAATACCTAAACATTTTTTACCTTAATGCATGAATGCATTAAGGTAAAAAAAAAGTTTATGCTTTAGAACCACTTTAAGTCTGCTTTTTAAAAAAAAAATCTTTATAGCAATGCATACTTGTGTCACAATTTTCATATTTCTCAATTATTCCCCCAGTTTTAGATTGTGTTTTTGTGACTGAAGTAATAAAATGTTAAAGTAGAATTAAGTAAAAAAGAAGTAAAAGTCACATTTACTGCTATAAAAACAATATGCCCCCAGATGTCCTGCTCTAATACCATTAGGTGATAAAATCCTTCACCACACTATAACTGCTGACCACTTGCGAAATATCTTGCCTGAGTTCTAGACTTTTTTCTCTGAACAATACTGAAAATCTTATTATTTTGAAATGATAATAATTTGATTATGACATTAAACATAAAATATATATTTTTTAAAAAAAAATTGATATTAACCAATTTTTAACTTACTTGAAATAGAAATTTATATCTGGTATCTTCTTCAAGGCAGGAAATGCATCAGGCTTAATATTGGTTCCACCAAGGCTTGTGTCAGCTGTAGCACCTGCAATCATAAAACAGTAGTAGGTAAAATAACACAATAGTATCCTTTCTTAGTTTAGATTTGCATGCTCATGGTTGAGAGGATAATAAAACAAGAAGCCGCCAGTCAACCTCTGAAATTGTGCATCCTTAGATCAGGAACTTTATTGTTCAGGCTTGAGAGCAGGACAGTGATTACTTTTATAATATATTACTTTGTATATTTAGGCCAATCAGTTTTTATTAGGAAAAAAAAACAGTTGTACAAATAAACCTAGGTCATATAACAAGGAGTCCCCAGAAAAGTAATAGAGAGGTCATCTTCCAATGGGGACATTAGTTCTGGTGACCTGGGGGTCCCCCAAATTTCATTAATTTGCAGGGATTTACTCTCACTTCCTGTTTGGCTATGGGACTGGAAGTGAAAGGAAATCTCCAAAATGATAGGGGAGGTAGGGGGGAGGAAAGAGGACGGTAAGAAAGGGGTAGAGAGGTATCAGAGACTGCAATTCAGTTGGAATTGGGAAAACAGTTAAAGTATAACTAAAGGCAAAACTTTTTTTTTGTCTTGGACAGAGTGACGAGGGATCAGAACCACTTTTTTTGTAAATTAAAATAACAAACATGTTATACTCACCTGCTCTGTGCAATGGTATTTCACAGAGCGTCCCCGATCCTCTTTTCTCGGGTCCCCCACTGGTGATCTTGGCTCCTTCTTTTCTTTCTCTATCCCCATAGCAAGCCATTTGCTAGGGGGGCACACAGTGCATGCTCTCTTCCGACCTGTGTGTCTATGGAGTCGTGCTCCATAGACACACAGCAGGACTTAGCCCTGCCCCCCACTTCCTCTTCACTGCATTTGATTGACAGCAGCAAGAGCCAATGGCTCCTGTTGCTGTTTGAGTTCCTGTGTGAAGAGGAAGAGAGGGGAGAAGAAATGCAGCCGTGCACAACGCTGATCTCTTCCCCCTCCTCTACCCCTTCACATAGGGAATAGAGAGCACAGGGAAACTGAAATCGTTTTTTTTTTTTAATGCAAGCAATGCCTTAATGTAAAAATCGGTTTTAGGTTTAGCATAACATTAAGAAGATTTACCCTCTCTTTTTGTCCTGTTTACCATTATCATTGAAAGGGAAAGTAAAGAAAATCTAAAATTTTGAGTTGTCCCCAGAAAAGTAATAGAGAGGACATCTTCCAATGGGGACACTGGTTCTGGAGACCTGGGGGTCCCAAGGGATTAGAAAAAAAAAAAAGCCTCCTGCGCTCAAAAGGCCGCATCTACCACCGGACCAGATTTATCAATAAAATATAACAGATGTATATTCACAAACACCAAATATATACAAACATATCATGGCCAACATTGGCTCATGGTCTGGAGTACTGCACGAGGGATGCAAAAAATTGCTGACGCGTTTCGAGGGGAGTCCCCCTTCTTTCCCAGAGCCTAGGCTTATATTTCATTAATACATCTTTGTATTGAGGTAATGCACAAGGCTTGTGTGCCCCTTTCTTTTTCTTATTTTGTGATTCCCAAGGGATTCCCTTAATTTTGCAACCAAAAATACCCTCTCATGGTGGAGGTTCACTTATGACTTCTGGTGGTTTCTTTTGCTGCCCTCTGGATTACTTCTCACTTCTTGTTTAACTATGGGACAAGAAGTGAAGGGAAATCTCAAAAATGGGACACAGATGGTGAAAACAAAAACTGACATGAGTTATAACCCTCCCTTACTCTATCCAAAATAAGAGATAATATCCATATAAAAAAAAAATCATCATCTCAAAACTGTTAAAGGAATGTCAAGTTTTGATTTGCCATCTGTCTAAGAAAAAAAGGCAACAGAAATGCGTAGTAGTAGGAGTAATAAAAAATGGGGGGGAGGGAAAAGGGGGAAAAAAAAAATCTGAGTAAAGAAGAGCAGGAAGAAGGGGTAGTGTGAGGTATCAGAGACTGCAATCCAGCTGGAAGTGGGGAAAAACTATTAAAGTATAACTAAAGGCAAAACTTTTTTTCTTTTAGCCTTGGATACTGTGAAAAGAAATTAGAACCCTGTCATTTTTTATTGCTGTATGTGTCCCCGTTAAGGAGATTCACCCTCTCTATTTGTACTGTTTACCATTATCATTGAATGTGAAGGTAAAGAAAATCGCACATTTTGGGTGGTCCCCAGAAAAGTAATCGAGAGGACATCTTCCAATGGAGACACTAGTTATGATACCTGGGGGTCCCCAAGGGATTCCCTTAATTTGCAGGGATTACCTCTCACTCCCTTGGAAGTGAAAGGAAATTTCCAAAACGGGACATCAAAAAAATGGCGAAAAAAAAAAAAATCTGACAGTGGTTATAACCCTCCCGTAGTCTATCCAAAATAAAAAATAAAGTTTTGCCTATAGTTCTGCTTTAAATCAGGGTTCAGAATTTGGAGGTATCCTTGAATGTTATCCAGGCTGCCAAGATCTTTTGAGTTATCCTATAATCACACTACCTTAAGCCCATATGTTGTTATATATAGACTTCAGCTGGTCTTATTTTATGGGTTTATTCCCATTTGCAAATACATACATTACAGTCACACACCATAAAATCTGCTTGTATCAGTTGCTGATGAGTTCTTGCCTTTTAGTGACACGTACATTTTAACAAGGACTATAGTGTTGCAGTGAAACATACCTAGAAATGTATCAGCCAAACTGACTGACTGTGATGACAAAGCTGTTCGGAATCCCTTGCTATCAGATGGAATGATAGTGGATTGGCAGACAAATGTTTTAACAAAGTTAGAAATGTCTTCGGGCTCTGCTTCCATGTCTTTGGCTGTTACGTCAGTAATGTTATCAGTGCATACAGCCATCCTTTCCCCCTTAAAAAAAGAACAAATTCCTTCAGAAATGTCACAATTTTCCAATATTTTAAAAATTGTTTAAATTGTCTGCTCTACATAAATATACACAGTATAATATGCAAGAATTATTATTTATGGAATGCTTCTCCTGAACAATGATCCCAGGTCAAATACCATTTAATTTGAAACCTTAAAACTCTATAGCACGTGTGATACCAGAAGGTGTGAAGTGGCTGATCTACTGGGGATCAAAAGTGGTTAGCCTACACAGAAGACAAATATGACCCACTGGATAAAAGCGTCACTGAGGGCAGTACACAATTCTGTACACATTGTTGCTGCAAATTCCATTACTTTGGATAGTCCATCTTCTTCAAAGTGTGCAGGCATACAGCTGACATTAATATACTCTCCTACCCATAACCAATAGATCAATAGTTGCTTGAGAACAAAAAGGGAAGTCAAAAGCTCATTATCGCAACTATGTTGTCTATGTTAAAATTCTCTTGTATCCATCTGCAAACATTTCCACATCTCTGCATTTGATGTATTAGCATTATCAGATTACTGGAAAAAATAGAATAGCATTCTGTATGAGCCAAAAATTCTACTGTATGGTGACACTGAATTAAATAATTGTTCAATATATTTTAAAGTAGAACTATAGGCAAAACTTTTTTTTTCCATTTTGGATAGAGTAAGGAAGGGTTATAACCGTTGGTTTATGTTTTGCTATCTTTGCCCTATTGGGGAGATTTCCCTTCACTTCCTGTCCTATTGCCAAAATAGGAAGTGAGAGGAAATCCCTTCAAATCAAGGGAACCCCTTAAGGATCCCCAGGCCACCAGAACTAATGTCCCCATTGGCAGATCTACCCTTTATTACTTTTCTGGGGATTCCTTGTCCTATGACCTGGTTCTATTTGTACAACTGTCTTTTTTTCCTAGTAAAAACGGATTTGCCTAAAAAATACAAAGTAATATATTATAAAAATAATCACTGCCCTGCTTTCAAGCCTGAACAATAAAGTTCCTGACCTAAGGATGCACAATTTCAGAGGTTGACTGGCTGCTTCTTGTTTTATTATCCTCTTAACCATGAGCATGCAAATCTAAACTAAGAATTGTGTTATTTTACCTATCTACTACTGTTTTATGAATGCAGGTGCAAACCCAACATTTGGGATTTTCTTTTACTTTCACTTTCAATGCTAATGGTAAACAGGAAAAATAGAGAGGATGAATCTGCCTAATGGGGTCACAGACAGCAATAAAAAGTGACAGGTGTTCTAGTCCCTCTCCACTCTATCCAAAACCTAAGAAAATGCTTTGCCTTTAGTTATACTTTAAGCTTTTTATTATGACTTTTGTTATAAAATGACAAAGTTCTTACTCCATTTCCGCACAGACTGATGTTGAATATGTGGAAGTACTTTGTCCCTTTGGAAGTAAAACTTGGTCCGTTCGTAAGGGTTGTCACGCTGCTTAGGGTGTTGAAATTGTATATTAAACTCTGGTTTTCATGTATGACTGACCAGGAGCAGTCACTAAAGCAAGCTGAATGATCCTGAAAAAAGAACGAATGTTATTAGGCATAAGATGTTTTCATTCTGAAATATTTAACTGCTAATACTTAATCTCATTATACCAAAATAAAATGAAAAGACCAGATTAAAACATACACACAATTTCATTATTGGTAATGAGTGTACACTTTCATATAGGACAAATTTAAAATAAAACTCTTAAAAAAAAAAAAAATATAGATAGTGTTTTTGGGACAGTAATTACAGTTTACACACATTCCCAGATATATGCAGCAGCAGTGAAGCTGTCTACTCCAATCTCACTAACATGGACCAGAAGCAATGGAGCTTAATGGAAAGGTAACGTAGTTTCAGCCCACCATAAGTATAACATATGTTTGAAAATGTGGTGTATGTTTCTAACTAAGCCAAGAACAGGATACAAGGTTTAGCCAGAAAATGACTAGCAGATTTATAAAATGTAATGTAGGCATGCTCAACCCTTGGCCCGCTAAACTGTCTGATGTGGCCTGCGACCGCAAACCTATGGCAACGCACACAGCCTCCTTCGGGTGCATGCGCTCTACTGAATAATTGCCGGTCCTCCATAATCCCGGCAGCTGTCATACACAAGCCACCTCTGCAGCCAGCTCCCCACTCTTCACTTTCTTTCTTAACACACAGACACGGGGAGAGGATCCTTTAGCCAAGTGGATTACATATAATGGCATTTATACAGGGGTTCTGAAGGTGGATTCTCAGTTGTATGAGATTGGAGTCATTCCAGGAGCATGTGAGTGCATTATGTGTCATTTTATCTTTCCTTATTAAAGGAATTTATTGAACTGTTGCTGTTTTTTTCTTTTGAGAATGTCCACAGTCTTTGTTTAGGCAATTCAAGGGATGGCTGCAAATACCCTAATAGAGTGAAGGCTGCAATACTGGTTCTGAGCTTTTTTGGCTGGTCACACCAAGAGAGGGATTACCAGTGATCTGCTTAAAAAAATGTGTGATTTTTGTGATTTTGATTACACAGTGGGTAAACATCCACCTGGGATTAGTCCCAAGGAAAATGATGATCCTTATTGTTGTTTAAAAGCTTAATTATACTATTCAAGTTCTCCCTCTGAAGAAGTGCCATTGCACGAAGGCCTCAGGAGGAACCAGAGAGCACAGCACACTACTGCCGCCTGGAGCTGGAAAGAAGCCCGGGCGGCCATATTAATAGAGGTATAGTGCTTTTTTCTTGCTCATCACTATACCCTGTCTGTTTATATGCGGTACTACAATAAAGTATTTTAATATACTACACTATGGGCACCTCTTTTGTGGCTCCTGTCTGGAGCTATTAAGCCCACAGGTACCTGTTAGTATCCAGCATATCCGGAGGTATAGGAGCCCCATATCCAGGCTGATCACCTCACTAATCTTAAGGAGGACCTCTGGAACCAGTGGATTTAATTACTTCCCTAACGGCTTGATGACTGCACCATAGGAAAAAGTTCACCAGATTGACCAGTTTACCTTGAGAATTTACATATATGCGCATTATCTATGCGCTTCCGGTGAGTGCGCACTTTTCACTTTTGGCCGGAGTCAAAAGTTCATCGGCTGCATTTTCTTCTGTTTACAGACTTCTATCCGTTTACGTATTCACATGCGTTTATGATCATTATATGGTTTATTTTGAATTTTTTAATATACAGCGCTACACCCTATACATTTCTATTCAAGATTATAAAATAAAAAATCTAAATTCTGAACCAATTCATTTCATTGTGGCCCATGACCAGTTACTAAATCACTTAGGTGGCCTGTGCTCTTTAAAAGGTTGAGCACCCCTGATGCAAAGCAATATTTTATTTGTGCACAAAAGAGTGGTGCTCAAATTTCTTACAGTTTGGCTTAGATGGATCAAGTGTTTTAAAACCCTTCATGTCAGATGACCCTGGAGTTTCATAAATGAGATTGAGAGACATCAGAGGCAGGATTCGCGCATGAGCACTTAACCAGTACAAAACGTAATGGAACTTTTGTACCAGCCTTGATGTGTATACAATTTTACCAATAAGGGTAGCATTGCAGAGCATGGGAGGCTGTGTGTTTCCTCTGCCTCACACCGAAGGATCAGACAGCAAATGGATTTCTGAGCGAGACACTGCTGCACAATTTCTATGGACACCAATGGCAGATGTGATATTCATCTGCTACACTGCAGCTAGTCTTTAAAAGCCCAGAGATTAGGCTATCAAATCAGACGGTAATGGGCATGCTATGGGGCCCTTAACATATGGTACCTTGTTACTTCTACTTGCAGGACCACAAGGAATGCAGGCCTCCTTTCCGTACATTTGATGTGGAGACAAGTATGTGTTGACCGGGCATTCTTTGCATGTACTGCTCTCTTTATCAATATAATGTCCTGCGGGACACGGGACACAAGAAGATCCTGACTGTTGAGAACCCAAGGCACAGGCACGGCAGGTTGAAGCTACTCCATCCATAACATTGGTTACAGTTATTGAATAGATCTTCACAACATCATTTATGTAATGTCGGCTCTGAAAGAAAACAGAGGGTTAGCACAATGGCTTTTTTCACTTCCTGCTTAATAAAAAGAGAACAAATCAGTATAATTTAATTTAAACTCGTATTTTGCTACAATAGTATCTATCTCAACACATTAAAAATGTGATCAATGGCCTTTTAAATAAATAAAAGACAATCTTATTAAGAGTGTATTATGCCTTTGCCTACACAAACAACCAAGATAAAAAAACTGTCCTCATTATTTCTAAAGTTATCTATGATGGCAAATGAAAATAACATAAAGCAAGATATTTAAGCAGGAGTTTATAAGATAGCATATTAAAAAGATTTGTCTCTGGTATTTCCAGGGAATGTATTTATGGTGCCCAAATCTTCTGAACTGAAACAATTTAATCCCAATCTTTCAGCCAGAGGAATAAGGATCAACTTAATATGTTTCACAAGTCCACTTTCAAAAACCGCAACTGCCCCTAAAACGTTTTACACTTATGAGTACTTCACTATACATACAGTTGTGCTCAAACATTTGCATACCCTTGCAGAAACTGTGAAATGTTGGCATTGATGATATTTTGGTATTGAAAATATGACTGATCATGCCAAAAAACTGCTTTTATTTAAGAATTGTGATCATATGAAGCCATTTATCATCACATAGTTGTTTGTCTCCTTTTCAAATCCTAATGATAACAGAAATCACCCAAATGGCACTGATCAAAAGATTACATACCCTGAAATGTTTGGCCTTGATGCAGACACATAAGGTGACACACACACAAGGTAAATGGCAATTAAATGTTAATTTCCCATATCTGTGGTGAGTGTCTGTGTATAAACAATCAATGAGTTTGTAAGCTATCACATGGATGCACTGAGCAGGCTAGATACTGAACCATGGAGAGCAGAAAGGAATTGTCAAAAGAACTGCATAACAAGGTAATGTTTAAAACTTTAAAAAGATGTAAAAGTATATAAAAAGATGACCAAAGCCTTGAATATGCCAGTCAGTACTGTTAAATCACTTACTGATAAGTGGAAAATTCAGGGATCTCTTGATACCAAGCCAAATACAGGTAGACCAAGAAAGATTGCAGACACAACTGCCAGAGGAAATTGTTTGAGATACAAAGAAAAACTCATAGGTAACCTCAGGAAAAAGACAGGCTGCTTTGGAAAAAGACAGGCTGCTTTGGAAAAAGACGGTTTAGTTGTTTTGAAGAAGCCTAATACAATAATAATTGAACAAAAATGAGCTGCACGGTTGAGTTGCCAGAAAGAAGCCCTTACTGCAATTTGTTTTTTTTACCTGATCAGTCATATTTTTAATATAAAAAAATTCAGGATTTCTGGCAGGGTATGCACAATTTGTAGCACAACTGTACAAAAAGAGTAAATATTGCACAATAAAACACACATAAACTTCTCAGGTTAGACCAGGGGTGATGCAAATTGTTTTCAGAGGGAACTCAAACAAATATTTCCACCTTGGCCATTTGGGAATTTGGTCAGCATCTTACATTTTGGCTATCCATTGTGATCATTGTGGTGGCAGTTTATGGGTCATACATTACATGGAAACAACTTGTCCAGGCTGAAATTCAAATGGCTCAAAGCAAGCACCTATTCTTTACAGATATATGTTCTTTTGAGGCTTACATCCATCTTCTGGTGCAATGAGCTTGCTATACTAATTGTGATACTGTTATCACTGTCCCATACAGCTATTTCTATCTATTTCAAACATATAATTTGGATATATACAAAAAATAGCAAAGAAATGCAAATGTCTTACATAGTGTATCTGCATGGTTTGTTAATGATAGCATATTCCTTCCAGTGGCCCAGCACCAAAAAAGTGTACGATTATTACATGGCATTACACTGTATAGAATGAGCCATTTCATTTCATATAATCTCTATCTTCATCAAACATTGCAAAACCAGACTTTTTTTAGTATCATTTTTTTAGGTATTATGAGTTTCCACTACTTGTGTCTCTTGGGTACACAACATGATCAGTTTAAAATTATAATGTAATTGTGTTATGTTCCCATATCCAGGGGCGGACTGACCATTTGGAAAACTCGGGCACTGCCCGAGGGCCCGGGGTCAGTAGGGGGCCCCATGAGATGCCCCCCTGGTACATTTTTAAGGCTTTTTTTGAGTTTGGGCAAGGACACAGGGGCCCCATGATCCCCTATTGCCCGGGGGTCCCATGAGTTGTCAGTCCGCCCCTGCCTATATCATTAAATATTTTCATTATTTAAAGAATTCACACCATTTCACAGACTATTCAAAGCACATTGAAAAGGAGAGGTAAATACCATAGTAGCTGACAAATGTTTCATGCTATCATTAACCTGTACTCTCTAATGAAATACTGCAGTAGGTAATATACTTACAAATTGTGCCTGGTTGGTTCTCTGAAATGCCCATGTAAACATGTATGTAGCATTCTTGGGTATGATGTGAGTATAAGATTGCTTTTCCCGGTTTCCTCCCCACGATTCTACCACACTTGTTGTTTTTCTGTTTACATCCTATTGGATGAAAATAATTTTAAAAATATAAAAAGGTTTCAGCAGTCCCCATATGATAGACCAACAACCAACCGAAGGAAAATGCACACGGCAGGCTGACAACCCTGCTGTTCATCAAAGCAATGGCTTAGCGTTGTCAACATGCAGGAAGGGAGTTCTTATAATGTGAGGATCTCCAGGAAAGAAACTTTATACCAGATTCACAAAACCATTATTTGCTTATAAAACTGTATAGAGTAAAATTTGATGCCAAACAAAATAGATTTTGGGTTTATATACACTTTAACAACTAAAAAGAGAAAAGACAGTGATGGAAAATGTATACCTTGAAAAATAACATTGTCATTAACAGACATAACAAATCTTAGTACTCAGAGATACTACAGGCACTGGCTGTGAATCCTCAGAGAAAATGTTTACAGAACATTGATGGTAGATAAAGACAAAGTGAACCAATCTAGTTTGACTATTTGACTTGATAAATTCTTTGAGCAAACTACCACCATAGCAGACAGCATTACAAAAATGCAAATTCTGCTGTGTTGTGATACCTTTCTTCCCCCATGTGTAAGGAATGATACCTTGAGCTAACAAAGGGCAGACTACTTTCTCAAGCACTGATCCTCTCTAAGAAGCCCTGTTACTGAAAAGTGCTGAACTAGTTCCACTGACATTAAGGGAGCTTTCATTAAAGTTATAAGGCACCAATGATTACCAACTAGGGTATACTTTTTTTTTTTTTTTTTTAGAATGGGCCAAGCACAACTAACCACCAGTTAATGGGGTGTTTTATTAGAGAGGCCCAGGGCAACACCCAATAAAATGATATTACTGACCTAGTAAAATGCTATTACTGACCTAAATATGCTTCCATGCTGACTTAATAGCTTTAGTATATATTTGCATCACTGACCTGGAACAAGTATGCAGAGGTCCAACTTCACCTGCTGCATCCCTGTTCCAGGTCAATAACCTTAAGTGTTCAAACCTGAGACAGCCAGGGAACTAGCAAATTCACAATGAAATCAGTATTGGCTGCCTAAATGTTGCTTTTTAAGTCCAGGTTTACTTATGTATATTAAAGTGATTGTAAAATTTTTTTTTTTTTATAAAAGCAGGTTTATACTTACCTGCACTGTGCAATGGAATTGCACAGCGTGGCCCCAATCCTCCTCTTCTTGGTGCTCCTGGCGCCGTCTCTTCTTGGTGTGCCACCATAGGAAGCTGCTTCCTAACGTGGCACACCTGCAGGCTCGATCCTGAGCCCTGCTATCTGTGCCCATTGACACACACAGCGCAGCTCAGACCCGACCCCCGATCCCTCATCACAGGATTTATCTGGCAGTAATGGGAGCCAATGGCCAAACTGGGAACTGATAGGAGAGATCCGCTGCAGACAGGCACAGTGCTGGATCACATGAGGACTTAGGTAAGTAATAGGGACGGTGAGGGAGCGATACTTTTTGCCTAAACATTTTTTACCTTAATGCAAGAAATGCATTAAGGAAAAAATGTCTAGGCTTTGTAACCACTTTAAAGCCTTTTCAAAAGTTGTTTCCAATGTTTGTTAATCTGTAGCTGTAATAATTATTTAATCTTTAATAATACCTGGTAATCCTTCTCCAGGCATTTCCGGCTATAAGGTGACAATATTCTGTCCCTGTCTTTCAGTTGTTCTTCTGCATTGACACCCTTGCATGTGCCTGCCCAATGGAGACTACAAGCAACCATGCCAACTCACTTTCCTCAGCTATTATGTTATCAACATCAGGAAAAAAAAGCTCTAAACATGACTTGCAACAGTTTTTGGAATGCATGCATGTTGACAGAAAGTGGCTCCAAATGGGCTGCAGGAGATCACCAGTGCTGAGATAAGAATTAAAATAAGTATTTTATTTAAAAAAATATATGGCAGTTGTTTAAAAATACAAAACCTTTATCAATCTGTTTAAGTTTAAGTGGTAATAAATTCTTTTTTTAATATTTTTACCTACAGGTAAGCTTATAAAAAAGCTTTCCTGTAGATAAAATGAATATCTCCTAAACGTGTACATCTGTGCCATTCCTTAAGAGCACTGCGCTGTGGCCTGGGACTCCCGCGCACATGTCATCACAGCTCGGCCAGCCAGATGGCCAGAGCGGGAGCAAACACGCAAGGAAGACCAGGTGAACATGGATGCCCTGTCAGCAATGACAGCGCGCCACTGGAGGGCTTCATTTTAAGGTAAGTAATGTGCTAGTATGCAATGTACACTAGCACATTATGACCACCTTGCAGGGGATTTTATTTTTTTTTACCTTTCCTGCGGTTTACTACTGCTTTGAAAGAATGCAGAGATTGAATGACAGTAACAGTACAGTAGATTGGAACATTGGGTGAACACAATGAAAGTTGTGGTTTGTACAACATCTTGAAAGCTAGGCAGACAGAGGCCCAATCTCCAAAGGTAAGCATAATGGTCAGTATGTTTATAAGACAAGGTCAGTATGGTTACTGTGCTTTTTTTTCCTTTGTTTCTCCCAATTTATTGGATAAACAACCTTCATGTACCTACAAACAACACCTTTGAAGCATACATAAAATTAAAATTAATTAGTAGTTCGGGTCATCAATATTTTTCTGCTATTGATGCTAACAAAGAAACTTATATTTACTAAAGCGGAAGCATCTGGTGCAGCTGTGCATGGTAGCCAATCAGCTTCTATCTTCAGTTTGTTCAATTAAACTTTGACAATAAATCCTGGAAGCTGGTTGGTTTCTATGCAGAGCTGCACCAGATTTTGCATGCTCCAGTTTTAGTAAATCTTACCCCCCACCCCCGCCCCAGGTATACTTGAAGAAATTGAAATTACTACATCTTTATTTTTTTATAAATGATGAGAATAATTGGCAATCACCAGCAATATTTCCTGGAGCATCACTTACCACCATGAAGTATAGCACGCAGTCTGCAGAACAAAGAGTTTCAAACACAAATGTAATCCTGCCCACCTCTGCGCCATTTGTCCCAGTCATTGATGTTGGAGGTCTAAAATTGTAAAGCAAATCTATTTGTACACCTCAAACTACATTTTACAACTTCTAATTTATTATTCATATTCTAAGCCAGCCATTTTGGGGCCTGTGGACAATTGGATGGCACACTGATAGTAGCTTCCACAGTGCTTGAAGCACTGAAGATAATAAAATCTTTACAGCATGAGCAATTTTGCAGATATATTCAGAGTGAATATTGTACCGTACCTCTGTGTACATATTAAGATCACTACAACTATAATACAAAACATACAGCAGAGGGCGCTGGTGTAGTGTCGTAAATGGCATCTGTTAATCCTTAGAAGTATGATTCCATTTGCTATACTATGCCAGCACCCACTGGTGTTTTTGTTTTTGTTTTTTGTATTTGGATCTGAATTTTCACAAAGAAGCCTTTTTTTCCATTGGAAAAAATAGCAAATAAAAAAAAAATTTCAATAGGGCAGTACAGTGGCTAAATGGTTAGCACTTCCACCTGGCAGCAGTAGAGTTGCAGTTTAAATCTCAGCCACAGCACCACCTGCCTGAAGTTTGCATGTTCTCCCTGTATTTGCGTGGGTGTGCTCCAGGTATCCTCCCACACTCCAAGGACATTCTGGTAGTTTAATTGACTCCTGCCCAGGGGCGTCCCTAGGATTGGTGTCACCCAATGCAGTAACTCTTGGTGACACCCCCTCCGACGATCCCCGCAGGATGGATAGGATTTGCGGATTGAGTATAATGGATTGGAGTCCAATCCATTATCCTCCCCAATCCGCAAATACCGATCCATCCTGCAGGGGATCGTCGGAGGGGGGGTGTCACCAAGTGTTACTGCACTGGGTGACACCAACCCTAGAGACCCTAACTCACGTTCATACATACACATGCTAGGGCCAATTTAGGCAGGAGCAGGGGCATCCCTAGGCATGTGCTAGGGGTGTGCGACGCACCGGGTGACACCTACTGCATGGGGTGACACCAGACCCGCTCCACAAAAAGGTAAGTTTTAAAGCAAGCTGACGATTGGGGAGCATAATGGATCGGACTCCGATCATTATGCTCAATCCACAGATCCAATCCATGCTGCAGGGATCATCGCCTTGCTTTAAAACGTACCTTTTCATGGAGCAGGTCCGGTGTCACCCCATGCGATAGGTGTCAATCAGTGCGGCGCGCAGCCCCGGCACCTGCCTAGAGATGCCCCTGCTTCTTCCTAAATTTGACCCTAGTATGTGTATGTATGAACGTGAGTTAGGGACTTTCAATTGAAGTTCCTTGAGGGTTAAGGACTGATGTGAATGAATAATATATACGTAAAGCGGTGCGTAAATTGATGGCACTATGTAAGTACCTGTAATAAAAAAATAAAATAAAATGCTACACAAGCCATATTGTAAATGAATGCTATGAAAAATTACTTTTCCTCTTCAATCTGAAGTTCTGTAATTTTCTGTAAAATTCAGTGCAATATAGCAACCTGGAGGCATGCTGTGCACCACTGCTATGACAATAAAAAATATTGGATATATGTACCAATCATTCCACACTACATGTACACCAGTGTCCTCCACTCTCTTTAATTTTCCTCTTATGATTTACATTCCAACACGTGACCCAAAAATAGTGTGCGCTCACAAGAGTGCCTGTGACCTTTTGTATTAAAAGGTCAAAAAAGTGCTTGATGCCCAAAAGTCCTTTCTTTTACCAAGCCACACCGTTAGGATATACAGTTGCAAGAAAAAGTATGTGAACCCCTTGGGATATTACGTGGAGTTTTGCATGAATTGGGCATAAAATGTGCTCTGAACATCATCTAAGTCACAACAATAGAAAAACACAGTCTGCTGACCATAATACTACTACAAACATTAGATGTTGCCATGGTTTAATTGCACATAACATGTAAACATTCACAGTGCAGGGAGGAAAAAGTATGTGAGGCCCTAGCTTAATGACTTCTCCCAGAGCTAATTGGAGCCAGGTGTGAGCCAACCTTGACTCCACCAGTGTGATGATATTGGATGTGTTGCTGACAGCTGTCCTGCCCTTAAAAAACACACACCTGTTTTGGGTTTACTGGTTTCAAGAAGCACTGTCTTATGTGAACCATGCCTCGCAGAAAAGAGCTCTCAGAAGATACCATCAAGAATTGTTGACTTGCATGAAGCCACAGGAAAGGGTCCACATCCAAGTATCTCCAAAAGCCTTGATGTTCATGTGTCCACGGTAAGACAGACTGTCTACAAATGGAGAAAGTTTAGCACTGTTGCTACTCTCCCTAGGCGTGGTCGTCCTGTAAAAATGACTGCAAGAGCACAGCGCACAATGCTGCATGAGGTAAAGAAGAATCCCAGAGTGTCAGCTAAAGACCTACAGAAATCTCTGGCACATGCTAACATTTTTGTTGACACATCTACAATAAGGAAAACATTAAACAAGAATGGAGTACATGGGAGGACACCACGGAGGAAGCCATTGCTGTCCAAAAAGAATATTGCAGCACATTTTAAGTTTGCAAAAGAGCACCTGGATGTTCCCCAGCACTACTGGCAAAATATACTGTGGACAGATGAAACCAAGATTGAGTTGTTTGGGAAGAACACACAAACACTATGTGTTCCTTGAGGGTTAAAACCCAGCACACCAACATCAAAACCTCATCCCCACGTAAAACATGGCGGAGGGTAGCAATCATGGTTTGGGGCACTTTGCTACCTCAGGGCCTGGACGGAAAAAAATAAAATCATTGATGGGAAAATGAATTCCAGAGTTTATCAAGACATTTTGCAGGAAAACCTACAACCATCTGTCCGCCAACTGAAGTTCCGCAGAGGATGGGTGATGCAATAGGACAATGACCCAAAGCATACAAGTCATTCAACAAAACAATGGCTGCAACAGCACAGAATACGCCTTCTGGAGTGGCCCAGTCAGAGTCCTGACCTCAACCCGATTGAAATGCTGTGGCATGACCTTAAGAGAGCGATTCACACCAGACATCCCAAGAATATTGCTACACTGAAACAGTTTTGTGAAGAGGAGTGGTCCAAAATGACTCCAGATCGTTGTGCAGGTCTGATCTGCAACTACAGGAAATGTTTGGTTGATTATATGCTAACCAATCATTCAACACATTAAGTCTAAATGTACACATAGTTTTGCTCCACCTCACTGTAATTTTCCTCTTATGATTTACATTCCAACCGTGACCCAAAAATGTTTGTGTAGTCACAATGTTCAGCCTGTGACCTTTTGTTGTAAAAAGATGACGTTCAGAGCGCTTGATGCCCAATTCATGCAAAACTCCTTTCGTAATCCCAAGGGGTTCACATACTTTTTCTTGCAACTGTACATATACCAAAGTGCACCCCCCCCCCCCCCTCCAGATCAGTAAAAGGTAGACAAGAAACCACAGAAAGGGATTCCTATGCAGGACTACATCTCATCTCCTTCTTTTGCCAGATTAATTACCATATAGGCATTTAAAAGCCAAGAGAGAGTACTTCATTCTGCACTAAATATATTAAAACCCCAAAGTGTAAAAGAAAGTTATTGCACTCACAAAAAATGTGCCTCTTGCTACACTACAAGTAGATCACCACCAAGTTATACTCAGATACACCGCCGCTCCACTCTTCCTGGAGCCAGTGTGCGTTCCACTGGGTGGATATGACGTCACCGTGGCCAACCTGATGTCCCGGACTATATAAATGAACTTGCATGGTTTTATGTTTTTGTATGCACATAAGTTAAGGAAAACATTTGTTTGGAGTTTTTATTGCACGTTTATTAGTGCCGCTAACCAGCAACCAATAGGATATATAATGCACGTCATTACAGGTAAGTAATGTCCTTGGTGTTGTATACCCCAAATATTTTTAACTAAACTTCAGCTTTAATATGTTCTTACCTGCCATGTATTGCTTTGAAATACTGCTATGACTTAGAAGTTATTAAAATGTAAAACGAAAAAAAAAGTGGAAGGTAAAACCAAAAGAAAATCTTTTTGTACCAGACAAGACAAACAGGCATAACTTACTTAAATCCAGGGATATGTAGATTCAGCAGAAGGTAGTCATTATCTGAGCCCCCTGCTCCACTATGAACATGATCACCTGCAACTTCCCAGCCTACAAAAAAAAAGTCAGTATCAATCAGTGCACCAAATAATGAAAATATATATATATATATATATATATATATATATACATACACACACACACAGCAGGTAAAATAAGTATTGAACACGTCACAATTTTTCTAGGTAAATATATTTCTAAAGGTGCTATTGACATGAAATTTTCACCACATGGCGGTGGTAACAACACATGCAATACATACAAAGAAACTAAAACAAATAAGTTCAGAAATTAAGTGTAATAAAATGGAATGACACAGGAAAAAAGGTATGAAGAAAGCGAGGTGAAAAAAGGTATGGAAAGCCCAGACACCAGCTGAAATCTATCAGTAATTAGAAAGCAATCCTGCCCCTTGTCAGTGCAAATAATATCAGCTGGTTCAGTCTCAATTGATGGTCTATAAAAAGGTGTCCTATTACCAAGGTGTCACTCCTCATGATGGGTAAAAGCAAAGAGCTCTCTCAAGACCTTTGCAGCCTTATTTTTTGCCAAACATACTGATGGCATTGGTTAAAGAAGGTTTTCTAAACTTCTGAATGTTCCAATGAGCACTGTTGGGGCCATAATCTGGAAGTGGAAAGAACATAATTTCACCATAAACCAGCCATGATCAGGTGCTCCTCGCAAGATTTCTGACAGAGGAGTGAAAAGAATTATCAGAAGAGTTGTCCAAGAGCCAAGGATCACTTGTGGAGAGCTTCAGAAAGACTTGAAATTAGCAGGTACAATTGTTTCAAAGAAAACAATAAGTAATGCACTCAACCACCATAGCCTGTATGGAAGCACACCACTAAAGATTCCATTGCTGAAGAAAACGTATGTTAAAGCTTGTTTAAAGTTTGCTGCACAACATTTAGACAAGCCTGTGAAATACTGGGAGAATATAGTCTGGTCAGAGGAGACCAAAATTGAACTCTTTGAATGCCATAATACACACCATGTTTGGAGGTCAAATGGCACTGCACATCACCCCCAAAAAAACACCATACCATCAGTGAAGTTTAGGGGTGGGAACATCATGGTGTGGGGCTGTTTTTCAGCATATAGTACTGGGAAACTTAATATCATTGAAGGAAGGATGAATGGAAAAATGTACCAAGACATTCTTGATAAAAATCTGCTGCCATCTACCAGGATGATGAAGATGAAACAAGGGTGGACATTTCAGCAAGAGAATAATCCCAAATACAAAGCCAAGGAAACTCTCAATTGGTTTCAAAGAAAGGAAATAAAGCTGCTAGAACTGCCCAGCCAATCACCTGACTTGCATCCAATAGAAAGTCTATGGAAAGAACTAAAGATCAAAACTCATAGAAGAGGCCCACAGAACCTTCAAGATTTGAAGACTGGGCCAAAATCACACCTGAGCAATGCATGTGACTAGTTTCTCCATATAGGAGGAGTCTTGAAGCTGTCATTACCAACAAAGGATTTTGTACGAAGTAGTAAATACATTTCAGTTAGCTTGTTCAATACTTTTTCCCTGTGTGATTAAATTTCATTACACATAACTTAATTTCTCAACTTATTTGTTTTGGTTTCTTTGTATGTATGGATTACATGGGTTGTTACCAATGTGTGGTGAAAGTTTCTTGTCAATAGCACTTTTAGAAATATATTTACCTAGAAACATTATGGCGTGTTCCATACTTATTTTATCAGCTGTATATATAATGAATATATAGGCACCAGATAAGGAATTTATGACTACAAGACTGCTATTCTACTACTGCTTTTCAGTGGAAATAAGGCTAGATTACTAAAAATACTGTATACAGAAAGCTGGGAAGCTAACAAAATACGTTGGAATTATTTTGCCCCACTTAATTGTTTCTTGATGTGTTTATAAACTGCAATCAGATAATAAACATAGGCTCTGTATCAAAAGTTAAAGTGATTGTAAAGTAATTTTTAAAAAAAATAACAAACATGTTATACTTACCTGCTCTGTGCAATAGAAATGCACAGAGAAGCCACGATCCTCCTCTTTTGGGGTCCCCCACCAGTGCTCCTGACTCCTCCTCTTCCTATGCTGACACACCTGTAGGCTTGATCTTGAACCACGCTGCCTGCGTCCATAGACACATACACAGCATGGCTTGGTCCCACCCCTTGCCCCCTCTTCTCAGGATTTGACTGACAGCAACAGGAGCAAATAGCATCCGCTGCTTCAGCAAAACCAGAGAGAGCGGGGAAACCACTACAGACGGCCACAGCACTGGATTGAGTGTAGTTTCAAGTAAGTATAAGGGGTGTAAGGGGGCGATACAGGTAATAGAACATATTTTACGTTAATGTACAGAATGCATTAGGGTAAAAAATGTTTAGGCTTTAGAACCACTTTAACTTTTTATTTTTTGGACACACCTTTGCCCCATTTTTCTTACAAGAAATATGCTCTTGAATAGGACACTCCCACCCAAGAGTGTCATGTTTTTTTTTTAATTCACAAAACTTTGTATTCATGGTATATAACAAAATGTATATGACATTCGAGTCAAGCTTAAACACTTGCTCAAGGCACATGACTGTATTTCAACGATGTGACTGTAATTTTCAAATTTCATTGAGCTCAAATAAAAAGAACTGTGACTTTTCTTAAAACAAGGATATCCTGATGTGATAGCTTTGTCAATTGATCAACTGGTAAACCGGCATGATTTACTGGATTGTTTATTATGAAAATACAATAAAATGATATTGAACAATGTGAAATTTAAAATAAATAAAATTGCCTGGAGTTCCACTTTAATCTCATATGGTAAGTATGCAAATACATACACATACAATCTCCATGGGCAGTGCCTTCTGTATTGAACTGTATTGTAATTGAAATGTCTCCTTTTATATGTAAAGCGCAGTGCAAACAGTTGGTGCTATATAAATCCTGAAATGAATAATAATAGTACATAATATATGATAGATTTGATAGATAGATCGATAGATAGATCGATAGATAGATAGATCGATAGATAGATAGATAGATAGATAGATAGATAGATAGATAGATAGATAGAAAGAAAGATAGATAGATAGAAGATAGATACTGTGTGCAATAAAATATAGTAACAATAATTCTCCTGCAGGGGGAGACGTTGCACTTAAAATTATGTCTGTGTAATGACAAACCTGGACACTATAAATCAGCCTTTTTCAACCTTTTCTGCTCATAATTGCTATATCTAAAAATCATAGCACCCAGTAGTCATTTGACAGGTAGAAATTCAGTAGTTGCTCATTGTTCAAAGGACCCCTAGCAATCTCTGGAGAAACCCTAGAGTTCCACGGAACTCTGGTTGAGAACGTCTTGTCTAAATGTTTATTAGTTTGAAAAGCTCTGCAAAATAATTGACCAAATGTTACAAAAATCATTTGAAAAATAATGAAATGGATGCTAGAGAGCAGGAGAGACTTACCATTCATTCCATCACACTTGGAATTTCCAACGTTAAAGCAAGAGGTCTTCATATTGGATGGGAGGATGTTCCACCACTTGTACTCAAAGCCTAGGACTGGCTCTGTTCCAGCAGCACAGTTCTTACACACTGCAGGTAAAAAAGCCATGGAACATATTCTAACACTTCTCTTACTACAGGAAATGCAAATCAACATACGGCAAAATGAAGATATTAAGTTAGTTTATAAGCACCCAGTAACAGGAAATATGCTATAGACATTCATAAATGTTATTTCTTCATTAAGCCAAAAAAAACTTTAAGAACATTTATTTGGAATAAAGAAGATGGGGGGCACTCCCCTATACCTTCCAGCATTGTAGGTACGGGTAGGATCCTTGTTTGAATGCAATATGCACTTCTCAAAAAAATTAAAGGAACACTTTCAGATCTCAGAGGGAAAAATATCATGCTGGATATCTATACTGATATGGACTGGGTAATGTGTTAGGAATGTAAGGATGCCCCATCGCTTGACAGAAATGAAAATTATCAACTTACAGAGGACTGAATTCAAAGACACCCTGAAAATCAAAGTGAAAAATGGTGCAGCAGGCTAGTCTATTCTGCTGAAATTTAATTGCACCAATTCAAAATGGTACTCAGTAGTTTGTATGGCCCCCACGTGCTTGTATGCATGCCTGACAACGTCAGGGAATGCTCCTAATGAGATGACGGAGGGTGTCCTGGGATATTTCCTCCCATATCTGGACCAGGGCATCACTGAGCTCCTGGACAGTCTGAGGTGCAACCTGGTGGCGTCGGATGGACCGAAATATGATATCCTAGAGGTGTTCTATTGGATTTAGGTGAGGTGAGCATGGGAGCCATTCAATGGTATCAATTCCTTCATCCTCCAGGAACTGCCTGCATACTCTCGCTACATGAGGCCGGGCACTGCCGTGCACCAGGAGGAACCCAGAACCCACTGAACCAGCGTAGAGTCTGACAATAGGTACAAAGACTTCATTCCGATACATAAAGGCAGTCAGGGTGCCATTGTCTAGCCTGTAGAGATCGGCTTGTCGCTCCATGGATATGCCTCCCCAGACCATCACTGACCCACCACCAAAACAGTCATGCTGAACGATGTTACAGGTAGCATAATGTTCTCCATGGCGTCTCCAGACTCTTTCATGTCTGTCACATGTGCTCAGGGTGAACCTGCTTTCATCTGTGAAAAGCACAGGGCGCCAGTGGTGGACCTGCCAATTCTGGTGTTCAATGGCAAATGCCAATCAAGTTCTATGGTGCCGGGCAGTGAGCACAGGGCCCACTAGAGGACGTTGGGCCCTCATGCCACCCTCATGAAGTCTGTTTCTGATTGTTTGGTCAGAGACATTCAGACCAGTGGCTTGCTGGAGGTCATTTTGGAGGGTTTTGGCAGTGCTTATCCTGTTCCTACTTGCACAAAGGAGCAGATACCGGTCCTACTGATGGGTTAGGGACCTTCTACAGCCCTGTCCAGCTCTCCTAGAGTAACTGCCTGTTTCCTGGAATCTCCTCCATGCTCTTGAGACTGTGCTGGGAGACACAGGTGCCATCCTGGAGGAATTGGACTGCCTGTGCAACCTCTGTAGGGTCAAGGTATTGCCAAATGCTACCAGTAGTGACACTGACCCTAGCCAAATGCAAAACTAGTGAAAAACAGTCAGAAAAAATGAGTAGGGGAAAATATGTCAGTGGCCTCCACCTGTAAAATTATTCCTGTTTTGGGAATTATCTCGTTGTTGCCCATCTAGTGCACCTGTTGTTAATTTCATTAACACCAAAGCAGCTGAAACTGATTAACAACGCCCTCTGCTACTTAACTGACCAGATCAATATCCCAGGAGTTTAACTGACTTGATGCTATACTCTGATTAAAAAGTGTTCCTTTAATTTTTTTTGTGCAGTATAGTAGTAACCTCCAGCTGAATGTACATCACTTTAGTTTACCTGTTGAGTGGCATGTGAGCTAAATACTGAGGTTGCTCCCATGTGCAAATTTTTATCAGCTCCCATAGGTAAAAGGCCTGTCCCCACCGGCCACCTCGTTATTAACATATCATTGTGGTGGGTGGCCTTAATGGTCAATAGGAAGGCATAGGTGAAGGAAAATGGGATTTGCTCAGCTATGTAGTTTATTGTGGAATGGGATGCCATTTCTAATAACCATCTTACCTTGTGTTCCATCTGAGTAGGTCCCGAATGGACAAGGGACACAAGCAGATGTTCCATTAGAGTAAAATCCCGGGTTGCATGGTGGACATTTCTCCTTTTGTCCTGATGCTGGAAGCTGGATGGCATCAGGCAGGTCTTCTCTGCATACTTTTGGTTCTATCCATTTATTCATGACTTGTGTCTAAGCAAAAGTGTCAAACAAACAATAGGAAAATCATTCTCACACTATCAATGTTGTCTGGAATGTTTAAATATTTTACATGTTCAAAGCATTACAATATTGTTTTCACTGTCAATATTAACAATGTCATTAACATCATATAAACTAGTTAAAAAATACCTTTCAAATGATACAAATATTTTTTAAATGTTTCACTTTCAAGTAGCTAAAAATATGTACTGTCAATTTTCTAGCCATAAAATAAACCTAGGTCTTAACATTGTGTTCATTGTGTCATTACATGCCTCAGTTTAGATCCAGGGATGTCATCACTGGGGTTTATTTACTAAAGCTGGTTTACTCAGAACCTCGTGCACTTCAACTAACCAGTTTACAGGTTTTATTGCTAAAGCTATGCAGGCCATACATTGGTCAAATTCCGAACAAATTTTCTTTAGAAAATCGGAAATTTTGTGCATTTTGTAATCCGATGGTGCCACCAATGATTTTGAAATTTGACCAAATAAGCCTTTAATTTCACCTCATGTTGCTACAGAAAAGAATTTTCGTGGCCAAGAATTCTCTTTTCTTTCCAGGTCACAGCTCATGCTCATTTCTTTCTCGATTACATTTCTCACACGATTCTCCCATCATTGATTAGAAATTTGTTCATTTAAAAATAAAAAATTCCCAGCATGCCGGATCACTCAGATTCGATGGTCGCTCAAAAATTGTCCATTGCTGTGGTCCACTAATGGTGCAAAATTTGAACGAAAATTCTTAGAAAAGATTTTCAAAAGAAAATTCTTTTGGAATTCGACACATGTATGGCTGGCTTTAATTGAAAAAGCTGAGGTTTGAAGCTGATTGCACAGGTGCACAAGATTCTGAGTGAACCAGCTTTAGTAAACAAACCCCAATGGGTCTCTGTGATTCTTTATACAATGCAGGCAGATTATGGCTGGTGGGAGGAGCCTTCCGGGTGCTGTACATAGCTTCCTGAAAACTCACAGCACCCTGCCTCTGTACTCCTTTCAAGATCCCTCAGTCCTGATGCAATCAATGGACAGGCTCTTGGGATGCGTTATGCAAATATCAAAATACCTTGATGAGCGTATGTCAGTCTGGGAGGAGTGGGTGCATGTGGTATGCAGACTGCCTCAGGTGACACCCACATGTGATGCTGAGCCTCCATGATTAAGAGAGCTGAAACCCAGTGAATAAACGGGGCAAGTCAGGGCATGAAAGGCTGGGGAGCAAAGGACTAATTGATGATGGTTGCCCTCCAGCCAGGAAATGAGGTGAGCTTTATCTGATTTGCTGCAACTTCTAATGTGAGAACCTCAATGAAGTCAGAGTAAGCATTTTCAGTAAAACAGAGGAGCCTGCACAACTGTGGAAGACTTAAAGTGGTGCTCCACCCAAAAGGTGAAGTTCTGCTTTAAGGACTGGTCCCCCACTCCCCATTAAGGATTGGCACCTTTGGGGAGTGGGGAGGGGGAGCAGGTACCCAAAATTGACAGGTACCCGCTCCCACTTCCGCTGCGATCACCTAGACCAGGGGTGTCCAAACTTTTTTCAAAGAGGGCCAGATTGGATGAAGTGAACATGGTGGAGGGCCGAACATTTTTCCAAACATTCTTTGAACCATTACAATTAAATGCAAATAAATTATTTTATGCCAAGGTAATTGCAAACGACATACTTTTCATTTCATAACATTAAGATCAACTGACAGCTGAGTTTTCACAATGTATTGAAAATAAATTTTAAAAAAACTTACCTGCACTAATGTGAAGGGTGAAAAAGGTAGCTGGAGCTGAAGTCTCTGCTCAGCAGCCGGGAGGGGAAGAGAAACACACTTCACGCTGGAAGCCCAGCCCTGATGTCACCGCCCTCTGTCGCTCCTAGCGCGGCGCAGTCACGCATGCGCACTGCTCTCAAGCAGAAGACTGTCTGCCACAGAAGGGAGGGCCGTGCGACAGCCGCATTTACACAGACCAGGGAGAACGCGCCGCAGTCAGGCATGCGCACTGCCCTCTGCTCTCAAGCAGAAGACTGTCTGCCATAGAAGGGAGGGCCACATTACACAGAGCAGGGAGGGCTGTTGGAGGGCCGTATTAAACCGACCCCCGGGCCGTAAATCACCCACGGGCCGGACTTTGGACATGCCTGACCTAGACAATCGGAAGCAGAAGTTGGCCTCCCCTCTCCCTCCCCGTAGTCTTCTGGAACACGTGACAAGTCTCAGAAGACTCCGGGACCATTCACAAAGTGCAGTCCTACTTGTACATGTGCAGTGGGCACTCGTCTATGAAACCGCAAGCTGTCACAGCCGGTGCCCACACTGAAGATGCCGACACCAGGAAAACAGGGCAGCCACTGAAACGGGCTGTGGGGAGGACACTGTAGGATCCAGCGACAGGTAAGTGTACATTTTTTAAGTAAGCAGCTGCAGTTTTTTGTGGCTGTTGATTTTTATTTTTTTTATTTTCACTGGAACTCAGCTTTAAGTTAAGACTGGAGTTCAGCTTTAAATATGTTTCTCCATAGTCAGTATTCATTTGGAAAGTCAGCATTTTGTCATACCTTTCCCTCTGTGTCACAGGGTGTGTGGATCTGGAATAAATCTTTGTTTGTGCAAGGAGGACGATCAACACACTTGCTGGATCCTTCATCTGAAAATGAATCATGCACAAAGAGAGCTGTGAATATTACGTTTTATAGATGCTTTCCTGGAGGGAGCTAAATGTAAGGTACTGTAAATATGACAGTTATTGGTGGGACTTTGCAATGTGCATTGAAGGAGAGCTATTGGCAAAACTTTTTTTTTCATTTTGGATAGAGAGAGAAAGAGTTATAACCCCTGTCTTTTTTTGCCACCTGTGTCCCATTGGTATGATTTACCTTCACTTCCTGTCTCACAGCCAAAACAGGAAGTGAGAGTAAATCCCTACAAATTAAGGTAATCCATTGCCCCCACCCCCACCACCTTCCCAGTCACCAGAAGTAGTGTCCCCCAATGGATGATTTCTCCTGTATTACTGTTCTGGAGAAAACCAAATATTTGGGATTTTCCTTTACTTTCATTTTTGATAACAGTAAAAGGAGAAATAGAGAGGGTGAATCTCCATAACAGAGTGCCACTTTACGTATCCACTTCTACACTGTCACTGTACTTACCCACTTCTCCATTCATCATCACTTTTCTTACCCACTTCTCCACTGACCATGACTGCACTGATGCATTGCTCACCAACCACTTCTGCACAAAACCACTTGAATACCATGTCACCAATGCACTTGTTTATTGACTGCCACTAGGCCCGCATACTTCTCTGGTGACCATGCATTTCAACACTGATCACCACTTTATCTATTTCTCCACTAACCATCACTGTACCTACCCATTTCTCCACTGATCATCACTGCACCTACCCTACTTCTCTCTGGCTGTCACTTTACCCACCCACTTCTCCACTGACCATCACTGTATACCTACCCACTTCTCCATGGATCATCACTGGACCTACCCTACTTCTCTCTGGCTGTCACTTTACCTACCCACTTCTCCACTGACCATCACTGTATACCTACCCACTTCTCCATGGATCATCACTGGACCTACCCTACTTCTCTCTGGCTGTCACTTTACCCACCCACTTCTCCACTGACCATCACTGTATACCTACCCACTTCTCCATGGATCATCACTGGACCTACCCTACTTCTCTCTGGCTGTCACTTTACCTACCCACTTCTCCACTGACCATCACTGTATACCTACCCACTTCTTCATTGACCATCACTGTACCTAGTCACTTCTCCACTGACCATCACTGTACCTACCCATTTCTCCACTGACCATCACTGTATACCTACCCACTTCTCCACTGACCATCACTGTACCTACCCATTTCTCCCCTGACTATCACTGTATACCTACCCACCTCACTGACCACCACTGTACCTACCCACTTCTTCACTGACCATTACTGTATACCTACCCACTTCTCCACTGACCATCACTGCACCTATCCTACTCTCCACTGGCTGTCACTTTACCTACCCACTTCTCCACTGACCATCACAGCATACCTACCCACTTCTACACTGACCATCACTGTACCTATCCACTTCTCCACTGAATATCACTGCACCTACCCTACTCTCCACTGGCTGTCACTTTACCTACCCACCTCTCCACTGGCTGTCACTTTACCTACCCACCTCTCCACTGGCTGTTACTTTACCTACCCACCTCTCCACTGGCCATCACTGTATACCCACCCACTTCTGCACTGATAATCACTGCACGTACCCTACGCTCCACTGGCTGTCAGTTGACCTACCCACTTCTCCACTGACCATCACTATACACCTACCCACGTCTCCACTGCCTGTCACTGAGTCAACCTACATCCCCAATGACCATCACTATACCTTCCCATGTATCTACTTTACGTTACTGTGCCTACCAACATTAACACTGACCATCACTTTACATACCCACTAGACTTCACTGTCTGCCACTGTAGAACACATACCACAAACTCCCCCGCTCTAAACACTGTGCTATACATTACATTCCCCACACTGCCAGGAAGCATCAGGGCTGCTCTGTGCAAAACCATTGCACAGAGCAGGTAAGTATGACATGTTTTTATTTAAAAAAAAATGAGCTTTAGAAATAAATCACCTTAATCACTCGCTGACCGTACTGCAGAAGTAAAAGTACAATTTGGGCTGGCTGCGTAGAATCATATATATATATATATATATATATATATATATATATATATATATATATATATATACATATATATTACATATATATATATATACATATATATACTGTATATACAGTATATATTACATATATATATATATATATATATGTACACTTCTCAAAAAAATTAAACACTTTTTAATTAGAGTATAGCAGTGATGGCGAACCCGTGGCACGCGTGCCACAGCCGGCACGCCGAGCCTTATCTGTGGGCACCGTATTTTTCGCTCCATAAGACGCACTTTTTTCCCCCCAAAAAAAGGGGGGAAAATGTCAGTGCATCTTATGGAGCGAATATAGAGCGGCCGGTCCGGTATTTCCACCGCCGCCATGTCAGAATACCGGGCCGGCCGCTCAGCTCTGCAGTGGGACCGTACCTGTCCCTCTATCCAGCGGCGCGCTGTCTTCCCGGCTTCTGTAGTGTGCGTGACAGCCGGGTCCCAAGTGCGCATGCGCAAGAAGCAGTGCTCTTTGTGAATGGTAAGGCGGTACCTGGGACACATGACAGATCCCAGAAGCCGCCGGACCAATCACAAAGCGCAGCGCTTCTCGCGCATGCGCACTGGGCATCCGGCTGTCCGACGAGCGCCCACACTACAGAAGCTGGGAAGACAGCGCGCGGCTGGATAAAGGAACAGGTAAGATAAAAAAAAACTCTGCGGAAGTAAGAGCGGGTACCTGTCAAATTCAGGTACCCGCTCCCCCTCCCTCCCCAAAGGTCAGCAGTCATCTGTACTGTCCGCAGTCTCTGGTCATCTCCTGTACTGTGTCTGCAGTCTCTGGTCATCTCCTGTACTGTGTCCGCAGCCTCTGGTCATCTCCTGTACTGTGTCCGCAGTCTCTGGTCATCCCTGTACTGTGTCCGCAGTCTCTGGTCATCTCCTGTACTGTGTCCGCAGTCTCTGGTCATCTCCTGTACTGTGTCCGCAGTCTCTGGTCATCCCTGTACTGTGTCTGCAGTCCCTGGTCATCCCCTGTACTGTGTCTGCAGTCTCTGGTCATCCCCTGTACTATGTCTGCAGTCTCTGGTCATCCCTGTACTGTGTCTGCAGTCTCTGGTCATCCCTGTACCGTGTCCGCAGTCTCTGGTCATCTCCTGTACCATGTCCGCAGTCTCTGGTCATCTCCTGTACTGTGTCCGCAGTCTCTGGTCATCCCTGTACTGTGTCCGCAGTCTCTGGTCATCCCTGTACTGTGTCCGCAGTCTCTGGTCATCCCTGTACTGTGTCTGCAGTCTCTGGTCATCCCTGTACTGTGTCTGCAGTCTCTGGTCATCCCTGTACTGTGTCCGCAGTCTCTGGTCATCCCTGTACTGTCCGCAGTCTCTGGTCATCCCTGTACTGTTAATTAGTTTGCACTACTGTACGAGTTGTTTTTTCTAAAACAAAAGCTCGATATTCAGGTTTCATTGCAGTGTTGGCACTTTGAAAGAAATAAGTTGGTTTTGGGTTGCAGTTTGGGCACTCGGGCTCAAAAAGGTTCGCCATCACTGGAGTATAGCATCAAGTCATTCCTGTTTTGTGGCTCATTTCATTGTTGCCCATCTAGTGCACCTGTTGTTAATTTCATTAACACCAAAGCAGCCGGGACTGATTAACAACCTCCTCTGCTTCTTAACTGACCAGATCAATATCCCAGGAGTTTAACTTACTTGATGCTATACTTTGATGAAAAAGGTGTTCCTTTAATTTTTTTTGAGTAGTGTATGTAGAAAAAAAATAAATTTTTGCCTTTTTTTTATTGGATATATTTTATAACAGAAAGTAAAAAATATTATATTTTTTACATTTTCAGTCTTTTTTTTGTTTTATATAATAAAAAAATAAAAACCCAGTAGTCATCATATTCCACCAAAAGGAGGATCTGCCAAGAGGAGTGGGTCAGAATCCCTGCTGAGATGTGTGCAAACCTTGTGGCCAACTACAGGAAATGTCTGACCTCTGTGATTGCCAACAAGGGATTTGCCACCAAGTAATGTCATTTTTTGTGAAGGGGATCAAATACTTATTTCCCTCATGAACATGCAAATCAGTGCATGCTTTGTTAGACATGCATTTCTTTTGAATTTTTTGTTTCTATTCTTTCTCTCAGTATTACAATACACCTACCATTCGATTGTTAGACTGATCATCTCTTTATGAGGGGGCAAACATTCAAAATCAGCAGGAGATCAAATACTTATTTCCTTCACTGTATGTTTTGATTAACAATAATACAAACAGAAATAATAGGGTGGTAATGAGATTATAACCTCATTTTATATGGTCATTTGACCCACGAAAACCATGATTCTCTTGCTACTGAAATGGCAAACAGTCAAATTATCAGCATGGTTACTATAGCTTTACAAGAAACATGACCCCTCAAGGCAATTCTGAAAACAGAGAACTAATATATTCCTAAATACTATACACCATTGACTGTTAATTGTATGCATTTTCATTTTAATGCCTACAGTATGACACTAATAATTTACCTGAATATTGGGTTTCTTGTTTGCATGGAGTGCATTCCTTAACTCCTCTGTCAGAAAACGTGTTCCTGGGACACAACTTGCAGGAGGAGGATCCCGTTTTATCACTGTATGTGCCAGGTTTACAAGGAAAACATTCTGATGTGTAGGCAACACCTGTAAAGATTGTCACAGCTGGATTTAGCAACACGAAAGGTGCAGTAATCTAGTGATTTAGTAAACCAGTGATCAGTTGCACATATTATAGTTGATATCATGAAGGCATAGGGTTACAAATTTCATGATGTATAACAGGCAGCTGTGCATAAAGAAGACTTCTGCAGCAAGGAAGTTTGGTTCACCTCCACCTTGGTGTAGGCACCTTCTCCCAACGTGCCTTACTGAAAGGTTTCCATCCACAATAAATGGACTGCACATGAACGTCTAGGTACAGAGAGTGCTCATTAAAGTGAACATTTCAACAACAGTGGCATGGTCAAAAGTACATTGCTGAGTTTTGCAAGAACTGTTTCATCATGAAGCCTTAGAATTGTGCAGTTCTTGTAAAACATGCCAAGATGCTTCTGTTGTAAGAAGTTTTAATAGAATGATGATTCTCCATACCTGGAAGTTCATGTGCCATTTATTTATTGTAGGTAGAGACATTTCAGGTTGCTGTGCATAGAGATAAATTGCATAAACACATGAGCATGAGAAGAAATTTCATTCTCACATTGTGAGAAATTAAAATAAAAAATTTTACAATGCAGTATGTTGTATCCTGAAACTTTGTATTGTCAGGCTTAAAGTGTATTTTCACTTTTGCAGGCAAATGGGGTTTATACCTACTTTAGATTTGTTACTTGTTCCCTTTCAATTAGCATAAAAAAATAGTTAGAATTGCTGCCTACCTTATTATATGCTCCTTTCTGAAAATACCAATACTGAAAAATCCTGCTTAACTTCCCTATCTCTGTACTGTTTATGAGGCTCAGTAGACCAGCACCATACAAGGCAATAAAAATCTAGAAGGAAAAATCTTTTCTTGTTACATGTATACTATACTCCGGGCCAGTATTTACCTATAAAAACTTTGTGATTTTTTTCCCCTTTTTCTTTTTTAATGTACCCTTACCCTTCTGCGATATCCTCCTTCCCTCCCCCTCCCTCTATAGGGTTGCCTCTCCTGACTGCTGGCTCAATGCAACTAATATAATGAGGAGTACTGGACCCCAAGCAAAACCATGGACCAGAAGGCTTATAGGAATTCAGTTAGATATGTCCTTTTAATTTTTTCCCTTTGTCTTTTTCCCTTCTACAGATTAAACTAGTTATACTCTCACTAGTTTCCTTCTCTTCCATCTTCCCTACTCCTTTCTCTCCTCCCTATCCTATCCCTTTTGTTTCTTTCATTCACACAATACTCAACGCCAGCCATTCTCAATCAGGGTGGCCAGGCATCCTGGGGTGCCTTAAGGTTTCTTCAGGGGTTCCTTGGCAAAGTGTCTAAAAATTGCCCAAAGCTTGTATACAAGCCAGTGGGTGGAACAAGCTTGTCTTTTAGTTACACAAAGTCACAGGTTTTCATTGTTCTCCATTACGACCTTCTAGCCGCCGGCATCCTGACAACCAATGACATCATCAGTTGATAAGCAGGATGTCAGTTGCCTGCACAGCATCCTAGTTTGACCCTCCTCTGCCCCTCTCCATCAGTGCTGGGGTCACATTAGCTCAGCGATGGAGAAAAACTGAGGGAGAAGAGAAACACTGGAATACTACTCAGTACCAGTGTGCAAAAGTGTATTTGCTTTGGAAGAATAAATCACCTCTAATGTTGGGTGTCCTACATGTGTGGATGTTGCTGCATTATATAAAACTATTAGAGGAGTTTTTCACATTTTAGAATGGGGTCCCCTTTTAAAATTATTGACAGTCTAGAGGCACCCCATTTTGGGGTGCCTCAAGGCTGTCCATAATTTTAAAGGGTGCCTTGACTGAAAAAAAGGTTGAGAGACACTGCTCTATGCCAGGGGTGGGCAACTGTGGCCCTCCAGCTGTTGGTGAACAAGTCCCATCATGCCTCTGCCTTTGGGAGTCATGCTTGTAACTGTCAGTTTTGCAATGCCTCATGGGACTTGTAGTTCTACAACAGCTGGAGGGCCACAGTTGCCCACCCCTGCTCTACGCAATTACTGCATGGACTATTACATATTAGATATCCACAATCCCCCCCCCCCCTTTTTTTTCTTTTTCTTTTTTTTGGGGGAAGGGGGGTGGCTTTTTACCACCAGTAAAACTATACTTGAGGATATTGTCGCTCATGCCTAAATGAATGATAGTTCATTTGTGTAAGTTTTATGTTCAACTGATTATCTTCTCACAGTCCAAACATGACTGATCTGTTCAGGAGTTATGGTTTACATAATTAAGCCTGCCTGTACTTTGCTGGCAGATCTCATTATCAGCTCTAGATTTAAACACCATTTGTCTTAACCAAGGGTTAAAGATCTTTAAGCTTGGCACCCCCAGTGTATTGTATTGTAATAAAACTCAGTGTGTCCTTCTTTGACAGTGGGGACAGAGTTTCCTCTCATTGCAAATTGTTCAGAGCAGCTTGCCATCTACCCAGAGCCTGTCTGCAGGCAAATAAAGTGTAGGTAATACTTTTTAAATTTGTTTGTGAATACAAACACATAGTGGGAATTTTTTTTCAAATTTGACTGCAAAAGTGTATTTTGACTGTACCAAGAAAGCCAAAAATTCCAAGAATTTGGACATATAATTGGTAATAAGGTGTTTTTAAATCTGCTGTTACCTTCTATTGTAATGTTCTTTATCAACACAGGCTTCACCACTTTTGACCCCAAAAGGAATGCCTGTAGTTCTCCAATACAGAATGTTAGTTCCAGACTTTAGAGGCAGCTGAAAGAAAAAAATGTGATCAACAAAGTTACTTATTTCCTTTTTTTGGTTAAGGGCAGCTAAGAATGATGGATATGGAGAAATTTGGCTCTTCTCTGGATTCATCACACAGTTTTGCACTTGTTAAAATTAATATATAGTCACAAAAAGCTCTAGCTGGTTTGTGTGACCCTTATGTTTTATGTCTGCCATATTCCATGTCATTAAGAATAAAGCGAGGGGGATATTCTATGCAAAAAGGTGTTTCCCAGTAGATGCATCTCTTGCAAATACTACATTGTTAATGACCATCCTAGTTCACATTCAAAATACTATTTTTTACTAAGAAATCTGATAAAAGTAGATCAAATATAAATATGGTATTGGTGGTATTGGTAGTTCACACAAAAATAGGTCAAGACAGGTTTATAATTGTTTTTAACAATCTTAGGCACTATGATCTATGAGTTCTAAATCATACAATTAAGAAGCAGCATTTTGTTTGTCATCTTCTAAGTTATATTCTTTATTAATTTTTTGCAGGTCCTTAAAGTGGAATTCCAGTCAAAAAGCGAAGTTCTGCTTCTCTGTCTCCTCCCCCCTTCGCTGCCACATTTGACAGCTTTTGGGGGGGAGCAGGTACCTGGTTTTGACAGTGAACTGACCTGGAAGTTCGACCTCACCCCTCCTCCTTTTGGGACTCTTCGCAGGTCTCAGAAGACTGCGGCCCTTTCACAAAATGCAGCGCACTTTGAGCAAGTGCAGTAGGAAACTGGTTGTGAAGCTGCAAGGCTTCTCTGCCGAACTGCCAAAGTCAAGATGGTGGCGTCAGCAGCCGATAGCCGATTTAAGAGGACACCACTGGATGCCTGGATGGGTAATTGCCCTGATATTAAAAGTCAGCAGCTACAGTATTGGTAGCTGCTGGCTTTAATTAATTTATTTTTTTTTTGGGGGGGGGGGCGGAACTCTTCTTTAATAATGACAAGTGTGCTAAGAAACAAAATTTGGGATGGAAAACATTTTTGCAGGAGACAAGGGAAGTTATTTAAGATATGCTGGTTACACTGGGAAAGGATATCCATTATTTATTTAAAGTAAACCTGTTGTAACAAAAATATAGAGGGTCCACATCTGATCTCATGAAAATGCTAGTTGCCTAGTTGTCATATTGACCTTCTTACTTTAATATTTTTAACACTTACCATACATTTTCTTGTACAATGTTCGTTTAGATTTACCAAAACCATAAATTATGAGGTCCAATCTAAACACTTTCAATTTGTGTGCAATCAGGCAGGCCCTTGTACTACATAGTTGAAGGTAAATCTACAGGAATTGAATAAGAAACTTGTATAATGTATGACCAGCCTAAGGGCTCGTTCACACTTAACTTTATTTCTAACTCTTGCCAAATGCCCCTATAGCGTTTGACAGGCATTGGGGAGGTGTTTGGGAAGCATTTTTAACACTCCTCAAACGCTCCCAAAATGCTCCCCAAATGCACTATGTGCGATTTTGAGGCAGTTGATAGGCATTTGCCAAGCATTAAAACTGCACCACAAATGCCTATAATGAAGTTTGAGCCAGAGGTTTGAGGAGCGGCACCATAGACTTGAATGGGAGGCTTCAACTCCTCCTGACTGGACAAGAGGCAGCAGTTTTGCCGTGACGCTGACACTTCACTGAAAAGCATTGTGTGCTGACATGTGCAGAATGTTCATGGGTGTTTGAGAAGCGTTTAAAAACTTCCCAAATGCCTCTCTGATGCCTGCTGACAGCTAGTGTGAACTGAGCCTTAGTCATTGGCCAAAAAGAGTCAGGAGATCAAACTTCACTGGTGCAGCAGTTGTTCAATAAGGTGTGAAGAAAATTACACTGGTGTATTAATATATTAATTTCAGCTGTGTCTTAGCCACAGATCTACATATATAGTAAATGCAGTAAAGAACATTTCACACAAAGTATGAGGCATATTAACTAATTGAATAATGTTAAGAAAAAAAAAACATACCGAATGATGCATCCATTCACCGCTATCAGACAACTTCACCCACTTGTCAGAGGAAGAACTTGTTTCCTGGCACTGGTCATTCTGAATCTGTGAGACATAACAACCATAAGTCAATAGAAGATTGAAGTAGAATCAAGGTACATTAAAACAGTTAAGATATCCACAGACATTATACGCTCATCACATATCCTCTCAGTGTATATGAGCAGGATTGGGTAACCATCAGTGGTGGTTGTGGAACACTTAGACTGCAGCAGACATCACTTGATAGTCAATATTACAAGAAAAGACTGTTAATTGATTTTGGTATTTCCAGCCAGCGGCTAATTTTTTTCTCTCAAGATAACACTAATACTAAGAGAGGTATGTTAAATGTATATATGCTTGTGATGTATATATACACATTTCATTACACTTACTGGGAAATTAAAAAAAAAAAAAGATTATTTTGAGAGATAAATTCTGCAGGGAAGTCTGACTTAAAATTGCCGGTATGGCCAGCTTTGATGAACTTAGCTAAACCATTGTCATTTGATCCACTGAATCGTGGGGAAGCGATCATGCTCTCTAATGTACTGTTCTGGCAAACTTTAAATTTATCATTTTAAACCTACTGCTCCCTCTCAAAATAAGATTTCAATATAGTGTTTCTTGCATTAGTTTATACATTCTTTTTCTAATTGCCTTAATTACTCATGTACTTTGGTGCAATATGTAGTAATAGACAACAGGGGAGATCCTATATAAAGGTAATCAGGAATATAAATCATCTAAAACAAATTATTGAAAACAATTCTTACAAAGAATTCAAAAAAGATATTGTTGTCCAGATACTGATAGTCAAATGACACCGATCCAGCTTTCTTCAGATGCACAGCATAGATGAGGGAAACAGTACAGTCATCCCGATTAGATTCTATGTAATTTCCTTTAGGAATCCATGATGAGCTGAGAAGACATGACAGTAAAATTATATTTTATATTATTTATAATTTTCCATACTGTCAATTTGGTTTTAAGAGGCAGTGGTAAAAATCAAAATAACAATTCAGTACTTAATCACACATATTGCTGTTGCGTTATGAGCAGGGGCGGACTGACCATTTGGAAACTCGCGCACTGCCTGTGGGCCTAGGTCAGTAGGGGGCCCCATGAGATGCTCCTGGTACCTTTTTCATAGGCTTTTTTCAGTTTGGGCAAGGACACAGGGGCCCCATGATCCCCTATTGCCCGTGGGCCCCATGAGTTGTCAGTCCGCCCCTGGTTATGAGCAACATAAACTTAAAGTACTATATCTATCTCCAAAATAAGTAAGATTCCACAAACCATCTACAGATGCTTCCAGGAAGAACTACATAGACAGTTAGTACTTCAAGTCAAGCAATCATAAACTGTTCTTTGCAGACAATCTCTGGAATTGCAGACATATCAGGTTGCATCAGGTTTACTTGCCTGTTTGTACTTATGAAGAGGAAAAAAGAGGAGCACTGCATGCAATGGCCTGTGACAGAATACAAGCAGTCCCCGAGTTACGAACATTCGATTTACAAACGAATTGTACTTATGAATGGAGGGAGAAACAGGAAGTGAAAGGAAATCTGCCTCTAGGAAGGTAAATTCCCTCCTGTAAGAGTCATCATGCAAAAAAGGTGTCTCCACTGAAGGTTTATCACCAATCCTTGTTTCCACAACAACTCACAATTTTCAAAATCCAATTGTCATAGGGACAGAAAATGAGTTCTGAACAGGGATACAAACAGCAAAACAAACATTACAGGGGTTTTAACCCTTCCCTGTGCTATCCAAAAAAAGGTAAAAAATTTTTTTGGGCTGGAATTACCTTTAAAAAATATATATGTTACAACTTACATACAGAATCAACTTAAGAACAAACCTACAGAACCTATCTGGTTTTGTAACTCGGCGACTGCCTAAATTCATCACATTCAATCAATTCTTTTCCTGCCATTAGATATTGGATCGGGTCCCTAGTGTCTTAAAGCACCTCTAAGCTACATGTAGACATAAGATAATTACTGATCAATAAGGATCAGATTCTCAAACCACTGTGGACATATTGCAGCATTTACAAATTGAGATCTTTTGACTGCCATCTCATGTCTATAGCTAGATTTAAATTACTGCTGTCTGCATTCAGGACCTGGGAGACCCATATGCAATCATCAGGTTTTAGCTTAGCAGCAAATAACTGGATATACTGGATATAACTGAAATACAAGGTTAATGACTGCTTTATTTACTGAGCAATAAGGAGGAGAGTGAGTCACCAAAAAACAAACAGCTGACTTTCTATTGCAAATTGATCACCTAAAAATGAATAGAAATGAACAAGCATTGCAGTGTGAATGCTTAATGACAATGCCATGTGCTTCCACTTTAGTAGCTAAGGACAGCAAAATGTGATAAAACTACACAGAATAACTTTTTTTTTATAAGATCAATACATACTTATCACAGCTATCAGGTCTGTTTCCAGAGAAGTCGGTAGTTGTCTCCATAAATGTTGCCACATTGGAAAATCCTGATGGGCATCTCATCCCATTCATCAAATTTGATCCCAGTTCCAAGGGAATATGTTCCTGCAGCACATTCAGAGCATGACTGGGTCTTAATATCCAAAAATTGTCCCGAATCACAAGAAAAAGCTGTAATGCACAAATAAGATCTGATAAATGCAAGGTACAAGTGGTCATGGACTGATAATCAACAACCGAGAAACATTTGAATGTTTCCTAAAGAGATGGTTCATAATCATAACCATAACCCAGAAGCTTGGACCAAGTTCTCCAGCAGGAATCTGATTCCCTAAAAGGAGGACCATCATACCAGGATGTAACAGTGCTGAATAAGTAGGATAACCCGATAAGTGTATAAAATTAGTAATTGATCTTCTGTATTAGAATGCAGTACATTGCAAAATGTTAATTTTGAATAAAGTGCAAAAAAAAACAATTTCTGATCTATTTATTATTGCAAGTCTGCAGTGGAAGCAATATTCATTCAATGTAAAGTCCTCAATTGGTAGAGGGTACAGGGTGCAGCAGATTATTGTATACTATGTGGCATTCACTGGTGTTTGCCTTCTTCAACTCCCAGAGAATCATATTATGAAAGCTGTGGCCCCATATAAAAAATTCGCCCATTGGGAGTCTCAACCCTGGTGAGTTACAGTAATTCATAAAATACAATATTTTATAAAACCAGATTATGAATACTATTGTCGCTATAACAGATAAGATCATGCCAGGTCATTGATTGTTTACGCAAGCTCAGTGGGGGAGATTTAGACTAAAACTGGTGCACACAGAATGTGGTGCAGATGTGCATAGTGACCAATCAGCTTCTAAGTTTGGATTGTTCAAATAAGCTTTGCCAATAAATCCTAGAAGCTAATTGGTTACTGTGCACAGCTGCACCAGATTCAGTGAGCACCAGTTATAGTAAATCTCCCCCATAGTATCCTTACTGAATTCACTTAGCATCTGTAATGCACACGGACAGGTTACAGCATATACAGTATGCTGGTTGTTTAACAATAAAGTGTGGTTTGCTATGGAATCTCCAACATCCAAAGGTAAGCCAGCTAAAACCTGACATAACTAAAATTAAAATGTGTTCTTTTTCAAATGTTAGTATTGTTAAATGCATCTACCATGGACAAATTAAACTGAATCAAGTGCACAAAACTATCATTGAAGGAGACTATAAGAAACAAATATTTAAAAACATCTTGTGAATCGTGCATGGAGTGTTATTGTACTATCTTGGGTATGAAATGAGCAACACCTTTAGTGCTTTCTCATGATAAAAATCTGCACGTGTGCTATCTATTATCTATGACAGCATAGAAATAGAGATTGAACTCTCATGATCTTGTGAAAAACTCTGCATGATGTAGGCTTTCCCCTGTGTGCCGCGGCTATCTAGATATTGTCTGGTATCTATGTGGCTTCGGCTCACAAATAGCATGATTCAGCGGCAAGCCGCGGCTCGCGAGCCACATCTTTACCCAGTCTAATGCGGCTCTTCTGTGTGCCGGGCTCCCCTCCCTCCTCTCGGTCGGCCGCTCCCCTGCCTCCTCTCGGTTGGCAGCCCCAAAAGTCTTTTAATCCGGCTTGCGGATGTGGCTGTCAGGATGTGTGTAGGCGGGGCAGCGTGCCGATCTTGGACCCGAACGGCGCGGGAAGACAGCGAGAGGAACGCAAAAGGTAAGTGAAGCTGGTCTTACTAGAAGGGGGGGGGGGAATAGTACAGAAATACTTTATTACTTTTTTACTTAATATTTAAATTACTATATCAGGGACCTTAAATACTATATGGGGGGATCATATGGGGGATGAAATACTATATGGGGGGATCAGCTATATGCTGAAAATACTCCATCTATTGAGGGATGAAATATGGGGGATGAATTACTATATGAGGGATGAATTACTGTATTGAATTATATGGGGGGATGAAAAAGGAAAAAAAAAGGGGATATTTGGGGGGATGAAATACATTGGGGGGATGAAATACTTCCTTATATGCCTATAAATACTATATGAGGGGGATGATTACTATATGAGGGATGAAATACTTTGGGGGGATGAAAATACCCTATATGGGGGGATGAAATACCTGAGGGATGAATGTACTATGGGGGATGAATCACATATGGAGGATGAATTCCAGGGGGATTAATTACTATGCTTATATGGGGGAATATTTACTTAATGGATGGAACATACACATCAATCTACTCTTGCCCCCGGGTCCACTTTATTATTTCATAATAAAGATTATTTGTGCATGTGCCATGGTGTCTATTATTTTGGACCTAACCAGGACCTGTGGCTTGTCTGCAAGCCACGCAATGGAATCCCTTTTCCCTACTCCTCCATGTACACAAATATACCGCAGGTCTCAGCCAGGTGCAGCCAGGTGCAAAATAATTGGAGACTATATGGGGCTGAATTCAGGGATTAGCATTACTATGAGCGGGATGGAAATACTGTCAACACAGTCTTAACTGAGAGGAGTTCCAATATGGTGGCATGGGAGCAAAACAGCTCAAGGTAACCTTCGGCTGCAAGGTGGACAAAAAACAAAATGGTTGCATACTGTGGATAGAGCCCCCTCTATGAAACAAGTGTTTTTAATCCGACAGCAAACAAGGCTTGTATCAGAAATTGTGGTTTAAATATATTATTTATTCATGGTAAAAAATTGCACAGTGCTCAATAACCACAATATATACATAGACATACAAACAAAATTAAAAAACAATGTGAAAATAAGGACGTCATGTATGCTGTATGTATATATCCCCTGCAAAGTGCAAATCACAGAAATATGTGTATGTAACTAATAATAGTAAATGGAAACAGCACTGCAGGACCTATATACACACATGCCCCAGGGCCCGTAAACAATCAATGGTTCTAATACTGATGGTACTCCTGGAGGGAAATTGATCCCTAGGTGGTAGTGTAACACTGGGACTATTAGAAACAGACCCAAAGCCACCAACAGCGACCCCAGAGATGGAATGTGGTGGGATCAGAATTGCTTATAAATTGATTTTGGACGTGTAGTGCATATAAAATGCAGTTGGTTTTCCCAGTTCAACTGGGTCACAAAGTAAAGTCACTGCTGGACAAAATGAGTATGATCACCTTGATGACACCAACTTGGCTAATTTAGAGCAATTCAAAAGACTATGGGATAGCGGATTGCCCATATAGTGTAGCAAGGTAGACAACGCTGGACTCCAATGCTGGAGTAAGTATGCTTTTTTTTTATTCTCATACAGTGACCGGTACTAGATGAATGGAATTTCATTTTGGGTGTTGACGGCGAAATTTCTTTTAAAGTAATATGTTGACGAACATTCCTTACTGCACATTTTTGGAACAAAATGCGCAAATGCAGCATTATTTAGATGTTTTACATAAATGGCAAACTAGACCTACAATCTATGTATTGAACATCAGTGTATGATTTGCTAAAGGTGTTTACAGATCACAATTGCTATGTGCACAGACATTCACACGCACATGCAAGCCTGCGATGCACATGTACCATAGCGATTTATTCCTACTCTTGTTCATTTGCTTCAATAAGTCAGACCCAATACGTTATTAAGATAAAGCATTGGAAACATGATCAGAACAAACATAGTTTGGCGAATACCACAAAATTTTGCACTTTCAAAATAACTTTGACAGCTTCTTTATGTTTATGTTTAGCTACCAACCAGTTTTCGATTTCTGTTAAATGATACCTGCAATCATACTGGTACTAGTTTTTATACATAAGGATGTCTTCGTTTTTGCCAAGCTTTCAACAAAAATGAACAAGGGAGGGACAATGCAAAGTCCTCTAAGGTAATCAGTTTCTAGATGTTATCTTTACATGGCATTCCTTTAGACCAGTATTTCAAGTCCTTCCTGTAGGGCTAGAAGTAGTATGTCTGTCCTGAAGAACTTTTACACATATTCAACTTCTTGAATATGACTTAGGGCAAGTTCTTTGTTTGCCATTTGACTGCTCAACAAATTTACTTCACATTGCAAAACCTGAAGCTGCGTCATTGAGGTCACTATAATATGTAGATTGAACTGTCACTCCCACTCCTGAAAGAGTGCCTACAGTGTACAAAGCAATTATTTCTGGTGGCGAACCCACTTTTAAATGACATAGTCAAGTAAAGAAAAAATATTAGTAGAATTCCGTATATAGACTCTTTCCCTTTGGGTAAATTTGGGAGACAGCAGTGTCAATGGCTTCATGAGTGCAAATATTCAGTTGTGGATGTGGTAAGGACCATGGACTGGATTGGCTGACTGGGACTATAGAGACTAATTTGTGTCTACAAAAGTCAATTAAGAAGTGCCAGTAACAAATTTCATTTACTTCTGCTACATCAAAAACATCATATTATTTCTACCAAACATTCACAGCTGCTCTTCTGGCTCTGGCATCACGACCTAGAGAGTTACTGACCTGTCACGTTTCCAACCTGCATGCATGTTTCACTACTTTTCACTGCATGGTTTACCTGACAAATTTTGTTTTTATTTTTCTGCTAATCAATGGCCCCCAAGAATATTATAAGTCAGGGGTGTCCAACCTGCAGCCCAAGATGGCTATGAATGCGGTCTAACACAAAATCGTAAACTTACTTACAAATGCTGATTTTTTTTTGGGGGGGGGGGGGTTTGAAAAATGTGTTTACGCTTATCAAACACATGCAGCCAAAGAAAACATTTCCAATGTGTCTCTTTACTGGACTTTTATGAATGTTATCTTCCCAAAGAAAAATACTCCAGTTTTCACATAAAGCCTTAGGCTCCATGCACACGGGGCATTTTAATAATGCTGGTAATGTTAGCTGTGTAAAGTCACGTTAAAAACATGAGTTTTTCAGCATTTTTGCATTAGCATTTAACCGTGTTTTTTAGCAATTTTTAGCGGGTTTTTTTATTAAAATATTTTTTTTTGCTCTAAAAAAGTCCAAGAATGCCGGTTTGCCGCGTTTTACTGCGCTTTTCAGCATTGGAGCATTTTTACAGCTAAAAAACTCCTCTAGAAACCCACTAGTTCTGGGGGGGGGTTTTCCAGACAACAAATGCTGATTACAGTCTATGTGTGCATGGACACATAGGATAACATGCTGGGGGGTTT